ATATAATCTTGCTTGCCCTATGAAATACCGCTATTGGTACGCCCTTATCAGATATGCAAATAGAATCCCTCTGAGGTAATTTAGCAGTTCCCCGTATGAAAGATTTACCGGTTTTGAACATGGCCACTTTCCATGGCAAACTGTAAACGATTGCACTAGAATCTTTACTGCCTATAATCTATACATATCCCAATGATTGTTGGTTATAAACCACCATTTTTGATGCTTCTTACACCCATAAAACATTGAATATCTCCAGTATACCACCTTTTTTTGTTGCTTCACTCGCCAATTTTCATAGTTAAATCCCCATGTTTGATTGTTCATTCATAATGTTCTTGCGCAAAAATCACAATTTGTCACACCTAAATCATTAATCCCCATTGTTGATGGTGAAATACCAATGTTTCATGCTTAAATCTAAATTAAATTACATTTTTTCCTGCTGAAATAGCTGTTTTTCTTGTGGTTAAAACACCATTTTGAAAGACTCACCATTTCTCATGGTTAAATCACCATTCTTGATATGTCTTGATAGTTAATTCATCATTTTTCCTGCTCAAATCGCCATTTTTGACCGGTCAATCGCCACGGGAAACCGCTGTGCGCCTCTGCCCCGTGAGCTCGCGAACCTTGGCGCAGAGCTCCTCCGTCTTTGCGCTATCCAAACCTGGCGAGGCAGCTGGCGCATGGTGATCATAGAGAAAAGTTGTGATTCAATAATGGTGATTTAATGGTGTTTCAAATAATGGTGTTTTAATTGGTGATTTAATGGTGATGAATGGTGAGACAACCAAGAAAAATTGTTGATATAGAGATAATGATGATTTTAACCAAGAAACATGGAGATTTCGTTGTTTTTATAGGGTGATTAATGGTGACTCACAGTTTTTGTACGGTGCTTACATTCTGGTAATCAACTATAGATGGTAATTTGTTACTTGCCATGTTTGATTGCCAAAGAATAACATTAGTTTTCTACACTTTTTGAATGATTATTATACCCCATAGGATCCATGGTGCTGGTATATATGCTAACATTGGGGGTATATTGATGGTAAATGTTACCATATATAGCATACATGGATCCTATGGGTACAGAAATCATCCCAAACAAGTGGATCAGAATGGGAAAAAATGATTACGAGCTGGTGAGAAAAAATGGATAAAAAACAAACAACATCAACCTGAAACAATGGATTAAAAGCAACACATCATCGACAACTATGTTCCAGAATCGGGCATAAACCACGCTGGAAAAACATTTGTCATCCAACAGAAATTGGATTAAAAGCAACAAAACATCCAAAAATCATCCTTCAAGTCCTCTCCGGGATAGGTCATGATACAATGATCTTCAAGAGCTGCAAAAGTATCTGCCGCAGGCAGTCTACTTAGAGCCTCCAAGTACCCATCGAAATTGCTAGTCCCAAGATCATCGGTATATTACAGCAATTTTTCTCTGTACAAACGGATCTAGGTATAGACATGCTTGGATGTGCATCCAACTTAGCAAGTGGTTCATAATCCATATATAACCCATATAATCCAATATATATATGTATATATATATATATACATTCCATTAATATAACTGGGTATAAACCATTTACTAACTGGGACGCACATCCAAGTGCATAAACAACCATGATAACTGGAGCAGGATTTCTTCGATCCACAAGACCTATCTACAAGTCTTGATATTAGAACTTCATTATCTGTTGGTTTACTTTCTCTTTTGAAAAATCCCACCTACCATCTGGTCATGACTAACATAGCCATGGTATAGATGGCCCATTTATAGATGGTTTACCTATTCAAAATGGTGATTTTCCATGGCTATGTTAAATAATCAGAGGGTAGTAGTGATTCAACCAAAAACCGTAAATCAGTCGAAGTAACAAAAAAAACCGTCCAGATCCTCTCAGCAGCGAGAACGGACGGCCAATTTTGCAAGTTGCAAAGTCAAAATCAAATGCTGTGTGATTCATGTTAAATGATATACTGGTTGGTGGTGCAATAACAATCTTGAAAATTATGAAAGTCAATGGGAAGGATGACATCCCATATATTATGGAAAAAAATGTTCCAAACCACCAACCAGTATATTTGATGACCAACTGCTGATATAATTGTTAAATATTGTTACATAAATAACTTTATCACAAATGGAACGTTAAGACTAATTTAAAACTTCCCAAATAGTATATCGCCGGTAATGTTTACCCCAATTTTTGATACTATATCACCATCGAACTTCATCGTTCAACATACGCAATTAATCATGTTCCCTAATTATTGTGAATGACCATGACCATCTTTCTTTAAGAATGTTGTGGTACCCCACTTCGAGACAAACGCTTAAATTCTTCAGACCAACGATGTCGCCCTCGCCTACCACGCTGACCATGCCAGAGGCCGCCGCATCTGCAGCTGCTTGCATCGCCTCGCCTGCGGAGCAAAAATGGCCCGGTGGCTTTGCCTCAAGGATTGTTGAAATTCATGAGTCAACTAACCCATTACTTAGAGCCTCCAAGTACCCCCCAAAAACAAAAAAGTTACAAGTCATAATGGGTACCCATTTTTTACATGCGGAGGGATCTGAGCTCTAGGTAGACCATTGGACTTATATTTTGTATTCGAAGGGTTTTTGGAACCTGAATAAACCCTTATCACTTGGGGGTCCCCTTCATGGGGGTCCCCCTAGATTTCCATGAGAATTAAAGTGGCAAATTGGGATTGACCATCGGTTTTCCATGAAAGATTGACAATACCTTCCCACCCAACTACCCAAAATGGATAAATGCAATTCTACCAGGGATTTCCTTTGTCGATATCAAAAACACTATGCAGATAGGATTCAACAAACCTGAATCCCAGGTAAAATCCAGGATGAAAAACGATAAACCAGTGGAAACTGCTATCAAAGCAATTCTTGCTTTGTTCTTTGTGGTACCTCACTTTGAGAAGCTATCAAGAAATTTACCTCAACAACCTAGCCGAAAAAGAAGAAGTAAACCAACTTGGCTTAGAAATCCTTTGAGTCTATGAGTATATGCGTTTGATTTTGCAGGCCACTTGGGATTTCATCAGAACACCACATAGCAGGCCTGCCATGTTTCAATCACTGCGAGTTTCCAACCAATTGACAAGTCGGTCACCACCCGCAGGTTTCCAAGCAATTACTATTTTGGTGGTTTCAACCCCTTTGAGAAATATGAAATTCTGAAAGTCAGTTGGGATGATTGTTCCCAACGGAAAAAAAATGTTCCAAACCACCAAGCAATTACTATAAATTTCCAGCATTGATTCATGAATTACTAAGCCTTACTAGTTGGTTCTATAGTTGGTTCAATCATGGACAAGTTTGGCAGGAAACCCTAGAAAAAAGCCACCGGTTGTCCGGATCAGATTCTCCCCTTGCCATTCCCTTCCCAAGGCCGGGCCTCTCGCTTTGGTCACTTTCACGCCGTCTTCAAAACCTGGGGTCTTTGAATCAGCGAATTCAGTCGTTGCGGCCATGGAGGTTTCCATCAATGGAGGTCCCCAAGGTCGCTGCAGCTGGATGGTGTATTTCCATGGGAAAATCCCAAACAAATAGCTGGATGCTGACTGGGGGTAGCCCTATGACTTAGGAAAGCCCCAGCCCTGTGCCATGGTCCAATGGGATCTTTGGCAACGGAACTCTGAGTCCATTAAAAGCTGGTAATTAATGCCAAAGTGATTATTTTTCTGAATCATGGTGACCCAATTTTGATGGTTTATCATTTTCCCGAGTTTTTTTTCTGCCATGTGGGCACATGAGTAAAAAACATGTAGCAAATGGAGGTCCTTTTCCAGTTCCCAGGAAAGTGCCGGATCTTGCAGAAAGAATACACAAAAGGAACTGAATAGGGATTATATAACACAAACCATTAGTGTATATATATATATGTATACGTATATATAACAGGATACTTTTTCAGGATATCACGTGATAGAATGGGATAGTTCTATAACCACCTGGATCTGATGTTTCTGAAAATTGGGGTTGAAAAACCCAGCAGCCTTCCACGGAAAAGCCGGCAATGAATGAGTTTTACTTGCCTATCTGTGGGTCAAGAATGCAATGACTTGACCCATGTTATCTATGTAAAAAAAAAACTAACCCCGAAGTGTTCAAGAAAATGAGGATGGTACACATCTTTGAAAATGTGTATGGTATGTTATAAACTATTTCATTGTGGGTTCCCAAGAGTCAGGGTTTTCTTCATCCTGGGGTTGACACGACTATTATTACTGTTGCAAATGGGTATGGGTCAAAATTAGGTACCCCAATAATTGGATGGTTAATACTAAACTAGACTAACATCTGTGGTTTGCTAGGTCTTCCATTTTGACCCACATCCAAATCATAAAATCGCTGGCCCTAGCCCGGGCAGCTAGGGCATCCGATCCTTTTTCTCGCGGCGCAGCATAGTCTTTCAGCTGGCCCTGTTTCGTCCGAGATTTTGGAGTTTCCCACATTCAGTGGAGGTCAAGGGAAACCATTCCAGGAAAGCCATGGGGATTTTACTCCCAAATTATTCTCATAGAATTGGATGATGGGAAAATTTACAGGAAACCCCTATATTTGATGGTAAAAACCATGGTTTCCTGTAGATTTTCCCTTAAACCAATCCATTGATATTCCCCAAATGTTGGCTTTTTCGATATGTTCAACAGAGGTTCCTGCAATTTTCTTCAGTTCACAAACTGGGAAGACACTGCTCAGCTGTTACTGCGGAATTTCCAGCACCAATTCCGAGCAAGTTGCTTCTGGCTTAGAGACTGAAGATAAAATGATCTGAACATATAACCAAAGGACCTGAGACATGTGATGTTTTCGACTAAACTGTGAGCCAATTATGATTATATATGAATATATATATACATTAATATGGTATTGAATGTGAAACTTCCAAGAAACATAATCATATACATATGTAACATATGCATATTATATAGTATATTATATATATATACATCTTTGGTGTAAACTTCGCGCAATCTCTGCTGCTGATCACAGTTCGGAGGCACGACCATCCGCCTCTCTGGAACTGGAACCCAGGAATGGACGGGATTTCCTGCATCTTTTGCTCCCTAAATAATGTACTGGTTGGTGGTGCAATAACCATCGTGAAAAATGATGGAGTTCGTCAATGGGAAGGATGACATCCCATATATGAAATGGAAAATAAAAAATGTTCCAAACCACCAACCAGATGTAAGATGACCTCAAATCAGCTAAAAAAAAATCAGATTCTTCCAACATCAAGAAACTAAGCTTGTTCTAAAATCATCTAAAAACTAAGATTAATTGTCCAAAACACTTGTAAAGTGGATGATGCTTATTTGTCCAATCTTGCAGCTGGTCTATGCTGTTCTTTTCAACGCCAGTGGTTCATATCACCCAACTTGAGACCAAATATGACCTCTCACCAGATCATTTGGCCATTCTGAATGGCCATAAAATTCAGAACCTGGACTTAGCTAATTTCACAACAAACAGTTCATCTACTTTTTCAATGATGGCAATCTTATGACCCAGATAGTTGGTCCATCAGGCAAGTACCCTCTGGTAAATTAACGTGTTGACCCTGAAAATAGCCTAGTTTTAATGGAAACTCATCTTCCAACCCCAATGACTGCCAGGGTCTATGTTAATTTACCAGAGGGTATATCAATGAGATATTGACTCTAAATCCAATCTTGTGTCCTCCTGAAATCCCAGGTTTGGCAAGGGAAAATCCAGGTTTTCAGTGGAAAATTTGGTGCTGATTTTCCGAAAAACCAAGAATGGCTTTGTCTGAAAATGAGCGTTTCCCGATGTGAAAACAGTTCATCATAATGGTTCCTATTGAAATTGCCATACCGGACAGGTATGCTCCAATATTTTCCAAACAACCCCAAATCTCCGCACTATTGCATGTTTGGTTATATCAGGTTATATCCCATCCTCATAAATGTCATTAAATGTCCAGTCTATCATCTTCTATCCCCAGAAAACAAGCTGCTTTCAAGAGTTTTGGAGTTTCAATCCACACTTAAATCTTCCAGATGCATTCACCGCCCGTGCCCGGTGCCTCGTGTTCCCCCAGGGCACGCACGATGATTCCCTTCAAAGGCAACTGGACGCCCGAGAGCTCGATGTCGTGCCAGGCATCGGCCAGCTCCTCCCAGTCGTTGGTTCTGTTTGGGATGTTTGGCCCGGCTTCAAAAAAAGCCATGGGATTTTCTGGTGAAGGTAGAAACCATCCATGTGGGTATGGGTCAATACCTATAGATACCATTTTTAGTGGGATGAACATCCATAAATCCCAGCTATGAATTGGGTGAACAGAAGGTACCAGGGTTTTGACCCATCCCCATGTTGATTTCAAGAGATTGGTTTAGTTGACTTCAAGTTCTCGCCAGATTTCCCAAGCGTTTTACACCCCTTTTCTTGGAGGCTTTCCTGTAGATGAGTCTGGTACCGACTCACAGCTACAGCTTTAACACACACACACATGGTTAATTCATGTTAATTCCTCATCAATGTGGCTTTAGCTGAAAATCGGGGTCCCCCAAAATTTTGATGCTTCATCATAGTCCCAGTGTTTCAGTCGCCGAGGCTAAAACAGCGATGATATGGGACGATGGTTAAAAATCCTGGCATTTCCCGATGGCTTTTTCCACATCTGTCCGGAGCAGTTGACCAGTTTACCCTACTTGGTGACTCATCTCACTATATGCCTGGTTTTTTCAGTGGGATAAGTAGGCTTAGTCCCTACATTTGAATTCAGCAGATGAACCATGTTCCATTGAAAAAACCAATGGAAAACCCCACTTTTTTCTCGAGTTGAGCCATGGTTTAGCCATAGTGAACCCCCCATGGCTAGTGCTCACTTCCCAGGCCTGAAAGGTGGCCTCGCCGTCTTCGTCTTTGTCCGCCATGATCAGAATCTTCGCCGGAAAAAAAACATGGCTTCGCTGAGATTCAAATCCAGTTGTAGGACAAGACGTTTTCAGATGTTTTCTTGATTGTAACCATGGAAATCCCAACATATCATGAACTTTATCATGATCACTGAAGCTCATAAACATCATTTTTGAGTTTTGAGCAAAACTGAGTCATTGCTCCAATGTATCCAATGTTCTGGACAGTTCTAGGTATGCTAAACTCGTCAAAACTTGGTGACCTCACTGATGGCTGGGTCTGCCTGCTCGTAATCATTGCATTTCGGAAATCCCTCATCTTTTGTGAACATGGGATAGAAACAGCAAGCCATCTACCCTTCTGGCTGAATTACAACCATTTACTAACCTGAAAAATAGCTGTTATCATATGGCCATTTGGGAATGATTCACCATTTTTTCAACCCATCATTCCGATGTGACGTCACGATGTGTGTTTTTCGGTGGCCGCACCTTGTCGATGGCATCTTCCAGAAAGAAATAGCCACCTTCCCACATCTTCAACTCGTGCATGTCGATGAAACCATCTCCGTTACCTGGGCCAGGTATGGCCAGGTCTCGTCTTAGCCAGCAGACGGACTCTCCCTTCAAAGATGGAATATGGCAGTCAAAGACACTACAAGTATGTGTGTGTGTGTGTAGTTAATTAGCCCTCTGGTAAACTAACATAGCTATTGAAAATGGCCATTTATAGTGGATTTTCCCATTGAAAATGGTGATTTTCCATAGCTATGTTAAATTACCAGAGGGTAGTATCTATGTTGTTCCTGCAAGAAACCTTCAAGTGTTGAACTACTCATCCGAAGTTTCTCAAAGTTTACCTAGTATGCTTCAATCTCACATCACAGTGCCGCGGCAGGGAACCGGAGGACTTCCCCCTGTGTCAGCCACGTTCCCAGGACCCAACTCCCGTTTTAGGGTGTATCCCATGTCTGGCAAATTAAATTTTAAGGATCAAACATTCTGGAAAGCCATCATGAAAGAGCACCATGCATGTCTTCACGGCCGCAGTCGTCTCTGTTTGAATGATGGGAGATGTCCGGCTAAAACCATTTACATTCCATTTGCCAAAACTTTGACTGTCAAGATGCAAGGAAATATAGAGAATGACCAGCCATTTGTGAGTCCTTTAAGGTACTGCATGTGTGTGGTTAAAAAATGTTCTTGGTCGCTGCCCAAGGACCGTCCAGACTGTGAAAAGTCTCATTCCTATCCTCGGTTGAGGCTATGGGCCACCCAGAAAGCATGAGTTCATCTGGAAATCTCTTTGAAAATTCTGGAAAAATCGGCTGCCTTGGGTGGTTCAGATTTCGACCATTTTCGACCATCGGCCCAAAAAAGTGGTTTCATGTGGTTTCAGTATTGAGGCCCAAAAATGAGGATGCCTCAGTGGTTTCCTGAAGTTGAGGAGTCCCTGACTCCATCGTAACTCTTAAAAAATGGCACCTTGGAACATCTTACTTTTCGAACAGGACATCCACCGGAAAATAGGCAGAACATGGGTCCATACATGGACGGACTGTGACTGTATAATATGAAGCATCCACCAGTAAAGTTTGAGTAGATGGTTGGCATGTATCATGAAGCATGGTTCATTCCCCCATTTGAATGGTGTGCACCCTCCAATTCATTGGATTTTCCCCTCTGGACATCTCCTCATGTCATGGGAGATGTCATGAATATGGATACCATAGCTCCTCGCCGCTCCCTCCTAATTTTTGACCCCAGATCGATAACCCTCTAGGCTAGGTACCATTTTAATCCATTTTAATAATACATATATATATATATATATATATGTATACAGAGAGAGAGAGAGAGATTATCTCTTTCGGAGGCCGGAGGAACCCACTTTTTTATTCAACTGGGGCAACTAGTCTCATCCAATGTTGCCATTGACCACCGGATCCTGCGTCCAGTCGGTCCAGTCTCATATGGCTCTTCCTCATGATCTTCTTCGGGCCGAAGGTAGTCGTACCAGAATTCCTGGCCGCCCAAGGTAGGGCAAAATAATCCAATCGATCCTATACTAAAACCATGTTTTCGTTTAGGTGGTATATTTAATTCATCAAAAAGAGTGAGAGATTGGTAAGGAAGGGTATCTAGTGGATTCTAGTGGTTGCTTGATGGATCTATAATGGATGTACACTTGGGTGTGTAAGGGGCGTATAATGGGTACATATACTGAGTAGTCAGATCATCTGCAAAGATCTGCAAAGACTCCCTTCTGATCTTTTGGCATTTTCACAAAGGCACCATAAGCTTCGACCTGCTCCCTCTTCGAAAACACTCCTTCACTCTTCGAACCCACCTAAAAAATCCTAAAAATTAGTAAAAATCACCATCATACTTACTCAAACCAAATTCTATGGTTTCTTAAGTTTTTCTGTACGAAAGGGACTTTGGGGATTCTGCAGATTCATCACACAACAGCCCGTATTTTTCGCGCGTCGAGACCGCGCCTTCTGGTTCAGCTTGCCATCCTGCCAAAGAGATCTCAGGGGAAACCGAAAAATCCATACCGACTTTTTCTGCCTGGTATCCAGTTACTGGTTGGCCTTGCTGGTTTGGCAGACATCATCCAAATTGCCAAACATTTCTGTTTGTTTGACAGAAAAAGATGTACCCTCTGGTAAACTTAAACTAACATAGCTATGGAAAATCTATTTTTAATGGTAAATCCACTATTTCTATGGCCATTTTCAATAGCTATTTGTATGTTTACCGGAGGCTAGTTCCTGATTTCCCATGATATAAACATGAAACCTCTCGGAGTTCTCCCAGCTCCATCCCAGTTGGCCATGGTAGCATGGTAGCATGGTAGCCGTTGTGGTTTCCCCCAGTTACACGACGACCTCAACGGCCGCTAAAGACACGCCTTGTCTAAATCCTTGCTCTCCATCACCGACTTGGCTTCTGCCTCCATGACCTACCATGGTGACTTGACCCAGCAAGGTCAAGGTAGGGGGGGAATTTGCCATAGGTCAAACATGGTCAAAAAGAAATTCCCAAGATCAATCATAGGACTAATGTGGGCAAAACAATGTCATAAACCACCCAAACTTGGGAATGATTTATACCACCTATAAAAATGGTGATGACTGGGGAATGGTTGATGGCATTGTTTTGCCCAGATTATTTTTTCTACATAGATGGATCGGACTGTTTAGGAAGCGGGACACATCTTTTTAGCACTGGATTTTTGTACATTTGCCTATCATCCAAGTCAAGAAATGATGGGACTCACATGTGCATCCCACTTAAGAAGTGGCCTATACTCCAATAAGCCATGTAATCCCATGTCCCATGTATATATATATATATGAAATGTATATATGTTACAATGTATGGATGTATGTATATATATATATAAACATATATATATATGTATATATATATATGGAGGTTTCCTAAACTGGGGGTACCCCCAGTCATCATCCATTTTAATAGGATTGTCCTTTGGAAACCATCCATTTTGGGGTACCCCCATTTTAGGAAACCTCCATATATATATATACGTATGTATATATATACATGGGATGATGCAGGTACTGTCAATGGGATAATGCCTGCAATATGCATTCAGAATGCAGCCATACAAAGCTATCACAAGAACAACCAATCTTGACACGCAGACATGGCTCAACATGTATGGTTTGAGATTACATTGTGTGTGAAGCAGACATGAGTACATGAAAAGCAGACGAAGCAAACTAACATATATAAGTTTTTTTTTTTTTTCGAAGCTTGCGTGGCTGTCGGGCTAGTTCTACTGTAAGCGCTGCATTGCCTGAATTTAATCATTGAGAAGATGAGTTTAGATTTATGAAATACCAGAAGATGAGTTTGCAAACTAGAGGGTGAGTTTGCAAACTGTTTGTTTTGTGCATGGCGTTTTCTTTGCAGACATGTGCATTGCATTTTATTTGCTACTATAAAGGTATGCATTATAACTTATTTTACTGTTTGTCCTCTATATTGCTTTGTGCATTGTATTCTTGAAGTTATGGTTATATAAAAATGTTGAAAAGGGGAGGTCCGAAATCATCCCCTAGCCATATTATACATATAATCATGTATATATATATATATATGTTAATATATTCATATATATATATATATATACGTATTCATATATATATACAGTACATATTATACTAATATATATATAGTATGTATGCATTAAGTGCAGATATACCATATATATCTGAACGAGAAAATGATCACAGCATCGCTGTTTTTTTTTAAGCACCGCCTCGCCTGGTCACTGACACCATGGCCGTACATGTTGACCAGCTCCTCAGCAGCGTCACTGGGATAACTGGGATATCCATTTTAGCTATTGAAAATGGCCATTTATAGTGGATTTTCCCATTAAAAATGGTGATTTTCCATAGTTATGTTAGTTTACCAGAGGGTACATAGTATAACCTGTTGTTAAAGATTTACCAATTTTATATTAGACATTGTTTTTAAAGCTAATCATATAGTATAATCATTTTGTACTTGGTTGATGTATAATCATTAATGATTACAATAATCATTAGTATACAATCATTTGTATAATCATCACTAGTGATCATCATTAGTAATCACCGTTAGTGATAATTAATAATGATGATCGTTAGTCGTTAGTGTATTGATACTAATCATTACCATAATCATCATTAGTATTTGCTATTAGCAACGATCATTAGTATAACCATTTGTGTATTAATGCTGTAGTGGTTCATGTAGTGGTTCATGATTGTACTTGGTGGTGAGCTACCCACGGATCGTAAGTGGCTCAAAAAAAAACCAGTTGTAAGAACCCCAGTTTTTTTCAGTGGATTAAACCTACTTATCCCACTCAACAAAGTAGGGTTATAACATGTTATAACCCACTTACTATGGGATGAGCCACCGTTAGTAATGTTAGTTTTTAGAAGTACTGGGAGCCACCCCACATGGATTGATATAATTTATGGAAGCCATGGTAAAATTGGGGATGGCTTACTGTTGCTTTTCCAACATTACATTGATACAGTGGTTATAAACCACTTGATAACTGGGATGCCAATCCAAGTAGGGTTGAAGTTTCTTGACGCTGTTCCCCAAACAAAAAACTTGTTAGAAGTATCCAAGATCAATCAATTTGTATGTGCCCGATAGTTGCACTTGAAAGATCAGTTTTCAACTATCCTGGAAATGAAAACTTATCATGTTAAGTAATTTACATGAACCATGTTCCATTGCCATCTCTAGTTACTGAAGGGTGTGTATGCTTCCAAATGATTTGTGCCTCGCCCTCAAGCTTGCCGTTGCCATCTGCGTCAGCAATCTTGAATTTTTCCTGCGATGGTTTCGGGAACATTGGACCATCATGGAAACATTCCTGATCCCATAGGATCCATGTATGCTATATATGGTAACATTTACCATCAATATATACCATACATGGATCCAGGGGGATGGGATTTGTTGTTTTTGACCCCAAATTCATCCATGGCTCAGCTATTTCAAAGAAAAAAAAATGGGCGGTGGAAGGTTTTTTCGTGAAAGCAGCAACAATGTCAGAAGGTGCAAGGTGAAAAATCAGAAAAAATCACATCACCAGAAAATCCAACACTTTTCAAAAAATTACTCAAAGTAATCCCATCCCCACATTCCAACCCTCATGAATCCCACTGACCACAAAAAAAAATAAGTAGATCCAACCTTTTTCTTCAGGGGTCCTCCAGGAAGGTATGTTCAATGGGAGATCTTCAGGAACCGATTTATTGGATGTACCTACCATTTTTTTAAGGCCTATTTTTGAGGCCTATGTAAGGGAATATACCCACAAAATATGCCATTTTAGGATCCTGAAATTCCCATAGATATTTACGTGTCTGGAAATAACTTCGTGCACCCCACTGCTACGTGGGCAAAATGATGAACCATGATGAACCAGTGGAATCCCGCCTGAGCTCCCTTGAATTTCAGCAACAAGACACATTAAAGCCATGAAACACCATTTTTCAATGGATTTATGTGAGTTCCTCAACATCTTCAGCAAACAAAAAAATGGAAAAACCATCAATTTTTTGCACATATACTCTCTGGTAATTCAACATAGCTATTGAAATTTGCCCATTTACAAGTGATTTACCCATTATAATGGTGATGTGATGTTCCATAGTTATATTAGTTTACCAGAGGTTAAACAACATCATTTTTGTCATCATATTCCAAGCATCCCGGTGGCTATTCGTCGCTTGACGCCGCTGGCCTTCTCCAAGTTCCGCACACGTTCCAACTCCTGTGGGAAGCCGTCGATGTCCCACCTGCCGCATAGCTCATTCGACCCAGAGTCTGCATGTTATAGAGTCTACAGGATGGGGCCCCAAAGATAGCGTTCAGTTGAGATATGGCTGTGGCTGAATTCTTTTTTTTTGTTCGTAGATATAACTATTGTGTTCATGGGGTTTATAAAACAACTTATAACTGGGGGGCACCATCCTGTGCTATCATATAGAGGTTTCCTAAGATGGGAGTATCATCCATTTTTGTTTGGGATTGTCTATAAATCATCCAGCTAATTATCGGGTACCCGGGTACCCCCCATGTTCAGGAAACCTCCAACGTCATACAATATTCTACTAATCTGTCAATTATGCGTGCATATTTCTATAGATGACATAAAGTTATATGTCGCCTCTTGGTTTGTGATCTTTATCGATGTCTTTATCGGGGCTGTTTCACAAGTGACATAAGTGAACCATTAAAAATACCATAGAATACCCTTATCCGTCTCATCAAATGCTAGTTGGTTGATAGATTTCTCTACTATGGGCTATCATCATCCCCAATCAATTGGGTACTATAAGTCTATACCCTCTGGTAAACTAACATAACAATGGAAAATCACCACTTTTAGATAGTTTTAGTAGGTAAATTCACTATAAATGGGCCATTTTCCAGTTCGCAAACGCTTAGTTTACCAGAGGGTAAGTCCCAACAAATTCACCGCTCAAAGCTATTCTGTTCATGGCTTCATGGCACGACCCCATGGCACGTCGCCAAGTTCTTCTCCACTTCTTCTCGGCTCAGTGTGCCGTCCTGGACGACGTCATCTCCGGTTGGGGTCGAAGGGGAGAAGGGCACGAGGACCGGCTGCAACATGGCCATCTTTTAGAGGTTGGGTATATATATATATATATATTATTGTATATTATATATCATATGTATATATATATATATTATGTATGTATGATATATATTATATGTATATATCATCTAGATTCATCTAGAAATAATATGAAATATAAATAGAAATAGGATGAAATAGGTAAAGTGTTCCATGGCTATGTCAAATTACCAGATTATCCCCAAGAACAAGCTATCTTGGTGTGAAGTACCGACCCATAATCACGTACGTATTGCTTACATGCCAACTATCAATGATCATTCTTATAACACTCACATCCTCGTTCTCATACATTTTTTGGCTCATACACCACCTCACTAAGAGGCTATCCAAAAAATATTACCACTAGTCCCTGATTCAAAATACGGTTGCTCCCACAAAGGAGGACACTTGGTAGAAAAAGAGGTCACATTTTAAAGTGACTATAACTGTAAGAAGATACTGTAAGTCACCATAATTTAGTTACCCATAGGATCCATGGTGCTGCTATATATGGTAACATGGATCCCATCAATATATCCCCTAAAAAATGGGGAAAGGGGGAAACTAGGACAGGACAGGTTGGAGGTTAGGTGGGAGGCTGTAATGTTTTTGTTCAATCTTGGAATCTGAAATGTTTGACTGTTTCTTTTTGATTATCTTGCTAAATGTTTGTTGAGGTTGATGTAATAATGTTTGGTTTCAATGAGGGTGGGTTTTGTTGAGGCTGTTCTGGTTTTCATGTTCTTGTTCAATGTTTCTTCCTTTCCTTTGATGTTTTTTCAGGTGGGGTTTCTGCGGCTATTTTCTTCTTAAGTGTTCATCGTTTCCTGTTTCATTATTTTTGTTTTTTGTTTGTTCATTGCTCGGTTGTCATGTTTTTGTTTAGGTTTGTGTCTGTGTGTTGAATTGTTTTACCTGTTATGGTTTTTATGTTGTTGTTCAATGTTTCTTCCTTACCTTTGATTTTTTATGTGGTGGGGGTGTTGGGACTATTTTGCCCCTAACTTTCACTTGATGGTTTGGTTTAAGATGAGGGGAATAATTGTTTAGGCTGTTGGGGTTTATGTTTGTGTTTGGGTGGGTGATTACTTCATAATATGTTTTGTTAAGATATTATGAATTAATCATTTATGCTTTCCACTTTCCTATTCCATCCCACCAGTGTTCAATTATCCTGACTTGACTTGTGATAGTTGGCTCGTCTGTATCATCTAAAATTAGTTCATCTATTGCTAATGCTAATAGAGTTTGATTTATTGACATAGCATCCCATTTTCCATCACGGTTAAGTTCCTTACCACATTCAACGATAATTGTTTTGTTAGTGAGGTTTTCATACATTCTTTTTATAATGTCAAATCTCATAAGCGAAAAAAATATAATTCCATTTATTCCTTGGTCGTTTTTCAGCCTATCAATTACTTTAAACCACCAGTATTATCCTTCCTCATCATCTGGTGAAGGCATAGGATGACACTTTACAAAGTCTCTAATCTCTTCATCTTCTTTTTCTATTGCTTGTCTATCACATTCGTGTTCATCTTCGCTTTCACTACCAAAGTCAGCATATATACCGATAATATCTCTATCTATAACCTGAATTTTTGCTTTACTCATTTTCTCTTATTATATAGTCGTTATTTTTTCTTTAAGTGGATCCGTCATGGCTTGTTGTGGATCCGTCACCATCATCTACGGCTTCGAACTGAGCCGCGGAGCCACCTTGTCCAGGTCCAGCTCCTCAGAGGCTTTCTCGTACATCGCTCGTTCGATTTCCTCGCGATAATGCGCCTGCTGCGGGGGATCCCGGGGATCGCCCGCCTAGCGCGGCATCACAGAACCTCTACCGGGGGTGGGGTCTCTGGGGGTCACGGAACCAGCTGAGCTTGAAACTGCGAAGTTGAAGAACTCCTTGGTTTTCCCGGACGACTGGGGTCTGAGTCCGTTGCTGAACACACACAAACGAGCTTGGAGGAATTCATTTGGGGGGTACAGGATGAATGGACCACATCATCGTTGCCATTATTCAAATCCATTTGGGGTGGGATTGTCCCTCAACAAACATCGGGTAGAGGGCTGGTAGATGTTAGAGGTTTACCAATTGAAAACACCACGCCGTGTTGGTATTACCCTCTGGTAATTTAACATAGCTATTGAAAATGGCCATTTATAGTGAGTTTTCCCATGAAAAATGGTGATTTTCCATAGCTATGTTAAATTACCAGAGGGTAACCAGCTTTATGAACAGCTGAATAGCTCGATTGGTAGGCCACAAATCAAAGCCCTCCATCCAGCTGGTCCAGCCATTCAGAAATCGGGCGAAGTACTTCAGCAACCCCCAAAAAAGATGGATCCAATATGGGGGCAGGATTGCCCATGAACATCCAATAGCACCATCATTGCAGTGATGGTGCCATGTCTTACATGGCCTCCATGACAAGCGTCGGGCTTGGAGAGTTTCCCATCTTCATTGTGATCCGCTTGGATAAAAATATACCTCTGCAGCAGTAGGGTTTTGGCACTGAAGGTTGACAGGAATCCCCAAGAAAAAGAGATTATGGTTCTGGCGGTCACTGGCAACTTGCGTGAAGGCTATGTCTAGGGTAGGGTATACTTAGATCCTATCATCTGTGCATAGCAATGCATTCGTTTTGTTGGGAAAATATGGGAAAATCTCAACTGAACCCCCTTTGCGATTTTAAGTTTAACCCAATATATAGGGGTTTCCGTTTGAAATTTGTTCAACATCAACTTATCAATTCTGGGAACCAGATACCCACCGGTCGTTGGCTTGGGCCCCTGAAAAGACAATGCGCAAGTCACTTTTTTGTTGTCATCCTCCCAAATGCGGAAGAAACATCAACTTCGAAGCCAAGAAATCCAAGAAGCAGTTCTTCAATTTCTAAAACATCTCCAACTCCCTATGTCTCATGAAATCTGGCTTTTTATTTCGAAGAATTCCCCCATAGATTCCATAGAGTTTTGGATCATCCGCGCCCAGGGGGCTCAGGCACCACAAATCGGGTTTCGTAAGGTCGCTGATGCTGGACAAGCTCAGATCCTGCGGTGACTTTTGCGACTGGACTATGGGTGGTGTCCTTCGGTCCCCTTCGGTCTTCCCGGTGAGATGCTTGGATAAACGGATGGAAACAGACATTCACATACATTAACAATGGATAGATCATGATAGATCATGATAGATCTATCATGTTAACCATAGTTAACCATAGTTAACCATAGTTAACCATAGTTAACCATAGTTAACCATAGTTGACCTAGTCATAACCAAAGCAACTGATCGAAGTATGGGGGCAGCGACCAGTTCTAAAACTGCGAAACCCTCGACCCACAAAAAGTGAACTGCTGTTTTTTCCTTTAGAATTGCTGTGAATTCCATGTTTTACCCCATAAAATCTTCATACATTTTACATCATGTTACCATATTTTTACCCTTTTTTGGAGGGTATTTGGAGGGTCTAGTGATGTTCACTTGGCAGATCCGATCTCAGCTCCTCTTCATCACTTCCATGCGCCGCTTGCGGCACCGGCTGCGGTACCGGCGGCGCCGGCGGCACCGGCTGCGGCACCGGCGATGCCACCCCGGACTTTGCAAGGGCCAGCAGCAGCACTGCTGCGAAAGACATGGCAAACACGGGAAAATAGGGACGTCAATGGCATATGACTGGCTGTTTCTCTAAGTTTTTTTTAAATCGAATAGGTCGTTTATGGTTGTTTCATGTTGGTTCTCGATTTTTCATTTCGAGTCTTCACCGGCCAAAAAACTCGCCATGTTTTGAAAGTTGGCTTCAAAGTGCGCTTCGGGATTTGAAATGCATTATATAAATGGACCTGAAACAGAAACTGAAAAGGCAAGTGAAAATCATCTCGGTGCTTGTTCACATGGTGACATGACGAGTCGACTTTGAGAATACTGAAAGCTTAGCAGCAGGACTCGAGGACTAGCATCAATGCGGTTGGTTCTTTGGAGTGTACAATGGACAATCAAGATTGATCAAGTCTAAGAGGATGTTCTAATGATTGCGTTTAGGGTGTGTCATCTTGCGGTAGGAAAAAAGTTCAGAGAGATTTAACAAGATTTACCATCTGGTTATTTAACATAGCCATGGAAAATCACCATGTTTAATAGGTAAACCATCTATAAATGGCCATTTTCCATGGCTATGTTAAATAACCAGAGGTCACATCAACTCGTCGCGATCTTTGTTCATCATGACGTCCGGGTTCCCCGACTCAATGCGCCGGCGAAACTCAACGCACCTGACCGCTTGGGCCCGGTACACATCTTTGAGCGAAAAATGCGAGAGTGCTGCTGGACACGTGAAAAAGGATATGGATGAATCTGGAGATATCTGGACTTAATGGATATGTTATGATATTTTTCATGGACCTATTGATTTCTGTGGGCCCTGAAACAAGAAGACAAGGCAGTTGGAGTGCCTTCGAACGTGACTGGGATCACCTCCAACTATGGCAGCTGGGCTTGCTGTCCAAGTTGCTATACTCACCCAGCGACAAACCCATAGCCTTAGAGCGTGGTGCTTCCTGTAACTCTTCCAATCATCTGCCATTTATAGTTGATTTACATTTACCCATTAAAAATTGTGATTTTCCATAGTTATGTAAATGTTTACCAGAGGGTATCAACTTGACAAATTTTGCATCATCTTCCGCTGCGTTTCCCTCATTCGTGTGCCAAACGATATGACTCAGATACTCAGGAGGTTAAGATTGGTGATTTTCCAGTTCGCGAAGGTCACTAAAACCAGAGGGGAAAAAAAGGCGATCTGAGACCGCCCACCACAGTGGCATCTTCGATATCTGCAGCTCCACCCTCGGCCCTCAATTTCTCCACCGCGGCCTCTGGCTTGGCTATTGGTGAATCATGTTTACATCATGGTTTTGTAATGGTTATATAACGGTTGTGATGGTTATAATATGTTATGATAGCGGTTAATGGTTCTAAGATATTCTATAATGGTGATTGATGGTTGTCAGTGAAATTACCCTGCGTTCATGAAGCATGGCTAGATGGGAAATCCTCTATAAATGGTGAAAAACTGGTCTATAATTGGAGGATTTTCCATTGCCATGTTGCCTACCACAAGGTATTCAAGATTTCGTAGGTAATCTTTTTCTGCTAGGAAATTGTTGGGTAGTTTTGAGGTTGGCCCATCTGAAACCATCACAGTGCCGTCATGGAAAAGAATTGATATGGTCTTTGCACCCTTTTTCCTCCAGACCCCCGAAAGATGCTGTGCCAAAGGTTACCCTCTGGTAATTTAACAGAGCTATTGAAAATTGCCATAGAAATAGTGAGTTTTCCCATTAAAAATGGTGGATCTTTCCATAGTTCATGTAAACGTTTACCAGGCCGGGTATCGTGATTTCTTTAAAATGTCATCACATCGAGAGAAAAAAACTGAAGAATATGGTGCCATATATTGCTTGTTTTTTTTTGGGCATTTCGAACATGGATACTCATCATATTCATTACGCCACATCATGTCCAGGCAATATTGGTGCAAGATTGGCATTTTCTTATATTTTGTTGCTCAAATCCGATGCGTCACACGTCGAAAAAAGCCCCCACCCTATCAGAGCTCTTATCAGATTTACGAAACTTCATGGAATCACAGTAGTAATCATCCATGTTTTTTCTAAAAATAATTGGGGACCCCCAAATCATGGGATTTTCGGCAAACCATGTATGTTTGGAACGCAGAATATACATCTATATATATATACATACATATATATATATATACACATCTATATATGTATAATATACATCTATTCATATACATATACATCTATATGTATATATGTATATATATATATAATATATACATCTATACATCTATATACATCTATATACATCTATATACATCTATATACATCTATATACATCTATATACATCTATATACATCTATATACATCTATATACATCTATATACATCTATATACATCTATATACATCTATATACATCTATATTCAATCATCTAGATATGTAAATTGATACGTATAAACACAACATTAGTTTTCACGTCTCCGAAATACTTTCGGGACAGATTGTAGCGCACACACACACAACAACAAAAAATATAACATCCACTACATCTTTTTAAGGGGTTGTTTGTGGTTGCTGTATGTGGGTTTGTGTGAAAATAGGCTACTCTAAACATTTGATGGTTTATCATGGTCGTTTGGGGTACCGTTTGGGGTATTTAGCTGTTTTCAGACACAGTCATCCACAAAGAACACGGTCCATATGCTGTCAAAACGATGGTGGGTTGGCTGGTCATCCGGCCATGGAAAATCCACCAGCCATAGTGGGATGATTTTATATAGCACTCTCTATTGAAACAAAGATGTTCAGTTGCCACGTGGGATGATTGAAGGGTATATCATAATATTTTTAATACAGATACGGAAAACTCTGAACCGCCATTCAGATATTCCCTTAAAATCATCGGAAATCTTCATTTTTACCATCTACCATCTATGTCTATACTAAGAACACATATATATATATATATATATATGTATATATATGTATATATAATATATTATATATATGGAAGTTTCCTACAGGATGGTGCCCCCCAGTTGTAAGTTGGTTTATAACCCCATCTAATCATAACTATTTAAGCGTATCATACACTATCTGGTTGGTGGTATACCTACCCCTCTGAAAAATCATGGAGTGAAAGTCAGTTGGGATGATGAAATTCCCAATATATTAATATGGAAAGTCATTCAAAATTCCCATGGTTCCAGTCACCAACCAGCTATTAGTTACACCAACTTCACTGGGGGCCCAGGAAGTCTTGGGACCCTGGGATCCCCAGTTCTCCAGTGTTCGGCTGGGCTCACCATCGAGGCCACAAAGATGGCCGGCTGCGACACTGCCGTCCTGTCCAACTCCTGGCGATGCTGCTGGTGGTTTTTTTTCATGCTAACATGACTGGGTTTTTTTGTTGATGGGATCCATGGAGCACCATATAATTATATATAATTATATATATATATAGCAGCACCGTTAGGATCCGTCATGGGTTAGTGATTTGTTTTGCATCGGACTTTGCACGCGGGATATGTATCTGATCTAATCTGTAGAAAGGGCCATCTTTAGCGCCCAGCAAAGGGGGGATGACCATCCCCTTTTAAGAAAACAAACAATGTTTTGACCGTGACACATGTGGGATTTAGCCGCGGAAAAATGAAGCTGAATTGTCATCAAAAATGGGTGTAGTTACAGTATTGGCTTTCAATGGTGCTATATCTGGTCGAAAACAGCACACTGTCGAGCACTCCGAAAGAATACGACTCTTATTTGCGTTCTGCGTCAACTTCCGGGAAACACATCACAAAACGGAATTGCCATGTCTTAAAAGTCCATATATACATCACCTGAACATACATGACAGGCCACAAATAAAACAAGAACCTGCAGTTCTATGTGACTAACTGCTGTTCTTTGTCATTTAAATTCGCAGCAAGAGCTGCAGTCGAATCAACCTGGTTTTCAGTTCCTGTACTGAAAATCCTATGTCAGTGTTTATTCACGTTCAATTCGTGTGGATCAAAGCAAGTTTTTTTTCTGTGTAGAAAGGTGTAATCAATGTAATTAAACAATATTAAACACCATGGTATCCAGCAAAACGCACCATGGTCCAACTGAACGTGGAATTTTGTCAAAAATCCCATGGCTTTCATGGACTTTATGGACCTGGAAGGAAGCCTCTGAAAAGCAATGGGTGATACCCTCTGGTAATTTAACATAGCTATGGAAAATCACCATTTTTAATGGGAAAATCCACAATAAATGGCCATTTTCAATAGCTATGTTAAATTACCAGAGGGTACATCAACCACCACTACGGCTCTATCAACAGCAATATGAAGCAACAAGATTAGGGGATGTAATCAAATAGTGGACACATTTACCAACGCTAATCGCCGATAAACCGCTCACCTTAAATTCCCAGTGACTGGGCATTCGTGCGTAGTATTTTCATAACTGGTTGGTGGTGCAATTTCACCATCTTGAAACATATGAGTTCGTCAATGGGAAGGATGACATCCCATATCCCATAGGATCCATGTATGGTATATATGCTAACATTGAGGATATATTGATGGGATCCATGTTACCATATATATAGCAGCACCATGGATCCGTCATGGGTATATGGAAAATAAAAGTATATAAAAGTCATGTTCCAAAGCACCAAGCAGTTTTTTAATGGCGACCCATATGATTGGTACATGCGCAGCTGGCATTGTGATCCCAGTAGGGACCCATTCCATGAGGCCACGGATGATCGTGGCCTCACCCGATGTCCACACAAAACCCATATGAGTTCGAGTCAAAAAAAGGAATTCCACCATCCAATGTGGAGTTTCCTCCCAACAATCATATTTCAGCCCGTTGAAATCGGGGATGCCAAGTATATACATCATACCACGAGAAAATTGTGGATGGTTGATGTTTTTCGGGTTTTTCCAACATTGGATCGAAAATGTCGGGCTCGCCAGTGGATTCTTGAGTATTTTGGTGAGTTGATCTGGACCCATTGGATCCTGGAGTCCAGCCCCAAAGCTAGACTCTAGACCTTTCTCTTCATTTTCTATGTCGGATTTCTCGGATTTTCCGAGTTCGGAAAGGCTCCTCCTTTGGGCCGTTGATGCAGCAGTCTAGGAGGTCGTAACCTTGCGATCTTAAAAAGCAGAGCTCAAAAACGTTGCTCGTGAACGCAGCAGAATCAAGTCCATAGGGGATGTAGGGGGCAATGTCAAGTTTTTCAGTAAGCATTAATTATAACACTATTGGCGGGCATTCACACTATTGCACACCAACACTAATATATGGAACATCTCCAGGTACCAAACCAGTCACCGGAGATATGGGCTGAATCATGTCAGCTGTACTCGTTTAACCAATCCATGTTTTACATGTCTAGTCTGTATAGTTGCTCTGTTTGCCATGTTAAATAACTGCATCTGTTTCTTTCGATTTATTCATTGGCATCTGTTGGATAGTTTGAGTATGTCTGGATTGTCAATGGGAAACCGAATTAAATGATTTTGGTCGTTCGTCTTTTTCGTGTTCCTTCTTGGGATTCCGAAAATGGCGGTAACCCACAACCATTATATAGTTTCCACGGTGTTCCTATGTGTTCCTATTAGAATGAACGATTTTATGGATGATTGTGGGGTTCCCAAATCTAGGGAATGCCCATGTTCGGACAAATCCCAGAAATATCGTAGTGTTTTGGTCATTTTTGGTCTATGTCTACCCTCTGGTTATGTCAAAATAGCTATTGAAGCCATGGCCCAGTCGAAATAGTTGATTTACACATTAATAGCATGGGGATTTTCCATAGTTATGTAAACGTTTACCAGGCCGGGTATATTTGTTCAAAATGTATCACTTCAGAAAGCCCCACAACCCTCGCCTACGATGTCACTGGCTGTCTCAAACCTCAGAATATGCGCTGGAAAAGTCCAACGTTCCGCGTAGCGTTCCCCTACTAAACTGGTTGTTGGTTGACCTACCACTCTGAAAAATATGAAAGTCGGTTGGGTGTATTATTTCCAATATATGGAAAAATAATCCAAATGTTCCAAACCACCAACCAGTAAAATTCAATAGTCTACACCACAATAACTCACCAACATGAAATAGGGATGTTTAGGGATAGTTACCCCTACTACCTCTACTATCATTTGACGTACCGTTGTGGTGAGGCTGTTGCAATCTCTCCAGAACTTGTTAACGGGAATGACACCTATGACTGACCCTGAATTTATGTAAAAAATGGTATTTACTCCATAATTTCAGCATGTTGACCATTGTTTATGGGTTACCTGAGGGTCAACATATAAATGGCTATGAGTCAAAACCCTGGCGCACTAGGTACCCCACAACAGATGGTTAATTGATGTTGATTCCCCCAAACATGGTGTATATATATATATAATGTCAACCCCGGATTAATAAACCCCTAGGCTGTTTAATTGGGGGGGTACCATTTAAGTATTGGATTATGACTATTGGAGGAGTACCCCCCTAATTAATAAACCATGGTTTATTAATCCGGGGTTGACATTATACATAATTTCATAGGTAACTTGACCCATACCCAAACAAATAATCCACTGGCGGGATGTTCCATGAACAGCAGTTTCAGGGTCTAAGCTGCGGTCCCACACCCTGATTATCAATGTTAAAGCGCAATAAATTGAGTCGTTGCATCATGCGATGCTAAAGCGGGTGTATATATATATATATTATAATATGTATAACTATGTATATACATATGTGTGTTCCTTACTGATATGTGATATATGTTGATATGTGGCTTTTTATCAAAATAGGGATACCCAAACAAAACAGCTGAGCAGTGTTCAAAACCCTCTGTCATTCCATGAAAAACCTGTTGTTTAGCAGGGGATTTGTCCGTAATATCATAATCCCCGATATATTGGATAGTATAATATCCCTAACCATCAAGCAACACGGCCTTTGAGCCCTGCTCCTGTGTGAATATCTTGTGGATATCATTTGGATATCATGAGATCATCATTGTGTGTGTGGCTGATATCATGGGACATGGGTGTACCCTCTGGTAAACGTTTACATAGCTATTGAAAATCACCATTTTTAATGGGAAAATCTACTATAAATCACCATTTTCAATAGCTTTTTGTATGTTTACCAGAGGGTACCTCCAAATCGCCCTGATTTGATACTCCAAAAAAAACGGATGGATTTCATCAATTTCATCCATGAAATTAGCGTACGCAAAGATACGCAAAGTTGGCATCTGGGGTCTTTTTTCTGCATGCAGCTGAAGCACATTTCTTTGGCTTTTGGCACCTGCCACGATGTGCCACGATGTGCCAAAAAGTGATGGGCGTCTCTTTGAAACCAAAAAATGACTGCCAAGTATCCTCTGGTAAATTAACATAGCCCCTGCCAGATATCAGCTGAAACATCGGTTTCCAGTAAAAATTGTTTATTTTTTCAGGGTCGAACTGCGAATTTACCAGAGACACTCATAGGCGGCGTGCTCCATTTAGCCCCAGTTGCTAGTATACCCTCTAGGAAACTAGCATAGCCATGGAAAATCACCATTTTTTAAAGACGTAGGTAAATCAACCATAAATAGCAATTTTGCATAGTTTTTGTATACCAGAGGGGAACCCATTACCAATAGATGGCTTCTGTTCATAGCTCAACCATAGTCCAGCGGCCAAAAAAGATGGTGATAGAGTCGCCCCTATTGGAGTGATTTGAGGTGTAAATCCTAATTTTCAGACAATATCGGTGAGAAGAGGATTTCGCTAATGATAATTGGGATAATCGAGATAATAGATGATAATAGACATAGCTTGGACCATAATTAGCAACATGTTTATCCTAGATATGAAGATCTATCTGATATAGATATGATATACAGGTTTCTTAAAATCAGGGAAACCCCAAGTTTCCATGGGTTTCAATACGAAGTTATTCATGGTCGTTCAGGACTTGGACGATTTGGGGTACCCCCATTTTAGGAACCCCCCATATCAAGTTGGTGATATATCCATATCACATATATATATATATATATATCCAAATATATATATATATATAATACATGTCCCATGTCATCACCTGATATCTCCATAATATCATGCATTGATTCTTGAGATCAACGGCTTTTTTCGTCACGTCGGCTTGTCGTGACCGGGGGCGGAGCGCGCCTCCACCAGTTCCTTACACATGCCCACAGACTGGGCACCTTGACCTGGTCCCAAAAGATCCAGGGGGCCATGAAGTCATATGGGCCAGGTTTATCCAGGAATTGGGGGGGTTTTAATAGTGGTTAATAGTGGTTAATAGTGGTTATTGATTCACTGATCAATGGGCTTCTGGTTGGTGGTTGACCTACCCGACCCCTCTGAAAAATCATGGAGTGAGTTCGTCAGTTGGGATGATTTTCCATTCCCAACTAAATGGAAAAATCATACATGTTCCAAACCACCAACCAGCTTTTGTTATGGCAGTCTTCATAGGGAACATGATCAACCGTGGATCTTGTTGGATCTTGTTCAACTCCCATGGGATTGCTAAACTCGCCGTAACTCGCCTGGGAAAAAGAACGCCTTCTTGTAGGAGAAGCCATCAGAGCCTGCCTTGGTGTTTAGCAAACGCAGCCTAAATCCGAACATTGAGAGACCGTCACAGCTAGGAAGTGCTTGGTAAACCGCCCTTGCCACTGATGACTAACCGAGCGGGATGGTGCTCTTCTCGTGCACGGGCTTTCTCGGAGAGAAGGGGAAAAGACCATTTTTCACAAATCATGGGTTTTTCAGTTCCACATATTAAAAAAAACGCACAAAGTAGGGAGATTGAAAGTTTCCCTTCAATCAATTTCCCATAGGATCCATGTATGCTATATATGGTAACATTTACCATCAATATATCCCCAATGTTAGAATATATACCATACATGGATCCTATGGGTTTGGGTTGCTCCTTTTTGTTATCTTCATGCTCTCTTTTCAGAGCGCGTGGACCGTCAGACAGTTTTTGACCGTCAGCGAGGCAACTGCCAACGATTTTCATCCGGCGCCACGGTGACTGATACGGAACATCAAACGTGGCAACGGAGAATCCCCGTTGCCTACCCAACCTGGTTATGACGTTCACAGTTCGCCATGGGATTTCGATGACCCATAGTTAAATAGATGGTTTACCGAACTTAAAAATGGGTGGATTTTCCATGGCGAACTGTTAGTCATAACCAGATGGTAAATGGAGGGTTGAGTGGGAAAATCATCGAACTAAATGGCGGAATTTCCATTGCCAATTTTTGATTCCCGGAGGGTACAATTTGGAAAAACGATAAATAATGATAGTAAAAGGATGATTTTACGTTTTGCCAATAGTAAAGGAAAAATAATGATAGTAATTATAATGAAATAATGATGATTTTCTGCACTCCATTTTTTTTTATCGTTCATGGAAATCAGTTTTTGTTCGGTGAGATCACGATGAAATGATTCAGCCGCCAGATCGCTCGAATCAGATCCTCTTAAGATCATCGAGAGCAACTGGGATAGCAAGAAGAGAAGATATCCACATTGTTAAGAAGCAGGTCTCAGTCAAAACTCTGGTAACATGGTGAACACCAAAATAGTTGGTATATGGATTTTCATCCCCTCCGTTTATATGGGACAAATGGATACAAATGGTCTTGATCCATCCCCAACTTCTGGTGTCGCACCAAACTAGCGTTGATCTGACATAGCAATTGTTCTCATTGGATCGGTTGAAGGGAAAAACCAAACCGGAAAACTCCACATTTGCTGGGAAAAAAACAACAAAAAAAACATGGTTTCCGGTGAAGATTTTCCCTTAAACCCATCGATGTTAACATCAGTTCCACAAGTCTATGATAAACATGTACCCAACGGCGGCTAATGAGAACATCGAAAGGATTGGGTGCTTATCATCTGTGTTTTGTGGGTTCCCAAAACATAGTAGCAGAAATGTGCTAGAGTTGATCATGTGTTCTCATCTAGTCATTATATGCTTCATACCTGTAGATGTATACAGATCCCATAGGTTTGTCTGGAAATAGGGTCCCCAAAAATCAAGACTACTTAATCATCATGTTCGCTGCTAACATTCCATTTTGGGGTGTACTCCATTTTCAGACACTTTAATATTAATAGTGTATACAGAATATAATAATCTATTATAATCTATTATAATCTAGCATGACAAGAGGAGATCCGCCGTTGTAGAATATGTTTCTGCTAAATCTAGATTCTTAGATCTGCCAAGCATTGTTCCGGTGAGGTCGCAGGTCGCTATAAACTAGCCACATGGATCCACATGAAGTTATATACATAATGTATAATGTATAATGCTTAATGTACAATGTATATATGAACACTGTAACCATTTGGACACATTTATAACCATTATATTATATAATGTTGTCTAGCCAATAGTGATATCTTGTCAATAGTAGAAACATTTTTCTGCAACTCCAATTTTTCTCCAATACTAAAAGTCAATTAGCTCCATTTACTTTTAGTATTGCCAAAAGAGTCATGTTCAGACCTTGTCCAGAGGGCATGGCCAATAGTGGACCCAACATGGCAATAGTGGAAACTTTTTTCCCAACTCCAATTTTTCCCCAATACTAAAAGTCAATTAGCTCTATTTACTTTTAGTATTGCCAAAAGAGTCAAGTAAAGCAAATCCTTTTCAAAGCAGCCTTCACTTTTGATTAGCAAAAGCTTAGATTCCAGAAATCTGATCCAATTACCAAAAAGCTGATTTCCTTATAAAACCCTTATTAAAAAAAGGAAGAAAACAGTTCCACAAAGGGTACCCCCTTTGCAAGCCCCAGAATAGCAATAACAAACCTGCACCAGGCATGGCAATAGTGGAAACTTTTTTCCGCAACTCCAATTTTGTTGTCCTCCTTCTCCTTCTCCTTCTTCTCCTTCTTCTCCTCCTCCTCCTCGTCCTCCTCCTTCGCCTCCACCACCTCTGCCCCCACTTCCATGTCCACTTCTGCCTTGCCAACTCTTCGCCAATCTCTTCGCCAACTTCTGCGCGCAGTGGGCACTGCTGGACATGGAGAATCTATCAGATACATATCATGATCCCAGCTATAAGGTTCCAAAAAATTACTATTGGAATGCTGACCCCCCCTATTTTTCTAAAAAAAATATATATTTAGGGGGGGGTTACTATTAGGCAGCCTACATTATATATATATATATATATTATGAACATTTGGAACCACGTATTCATAATGTCTTTGACAATCCTGGATATCTTCTCCACAGGGTGCGGAAGATCGCCGATCCACAGCTGCTTTGGAAGGTCCACTCCGGAGCTACATGCCTCACTTAACCCTTTGGTTTGGATATGGATAGCTCAGGTCAATTCTGGCAGAATCAATGGCTTTTGAATGAAAAAAGTGATGGACAAATCGCGGGAAAACTCTACAGTAGCCATATGGAGCAAAACTCCATGGACTGCAAAACCTGGATTACCATCTGGTTCTGACTTACATAGCCATGGTATAGATGGCACATTTATAGATGGTTTACCGAACTTAAAAATGGTGATTTTCCATGGCTATGTTAAATAACCAGGTAGTATGTCAGAATTCACCAAATACCTGCAAACTTCGGTCACAACTCGAGATAGTTATCCTCCCTGTCGTCCAATTCCCATGCTTGAATTACAGCCGTGACATCGCATTTTTCATTGCTTTTCATTGGACAACTTGCAGGATGCTGGTCTCTTGACAACATCTGGGTGATGTTGTCCTCGCATTATGGTACATTGGTACATGATGAGTGAAACAAACACCCGAAGCAAAACCCTGCACGGTCCACGACAAGTTTGCCTTGGAGAGTTGGACATGCACTGAAAAGATCTAAAGCTCATGGCCTTCAATAGGTTGCCAACAACACCCCCACCAATGGTCCTATTCTTCTTGGAGTCTCGGTTCATCGGGCATTTTTGGTTCGGTTGGTATCCAAACTTTTTATAGGGAAGTCTCCACTGGTTTTCCCAACTTTTCTTCAAACTCTCTACCCTCTGGTTATGTCAAAATAGCTATTGAAAATGGCTATGTATAGTGGATTTTCCCATTAAAAATGGTGATTTTCCATAGTTATGTTAGTTTACCAGAGGGTAATATCGAATATCTCTTAACCGATATCAAATGCCTAAATGTTTGATATTGTTCTTACCGGCAAATCTTCGCTCAAGACTTGACTAAAGCATACTAAACCTGCAATGAGAAAGACGGCTGGGTCTCGTTGGGGATCCTCCTCCCAAATATTAACTGGTTGGTGGTTCAACCCCTCTGAAAAATATGAGTTCGTCAATGGGAAGGATTACATCCCATATATGAAATAGAAAATAAAAGTCATGTTCCAAACCACCAAGCAGTTAAGTTGATTAAGTTGATCGTTTGAAACCTCTGTGAAGTTCCCAAAAAATCTGGCCGTCATCCACCCTGAAAATGCTGGATGACGTACCCAATATTTTAAGGGGATAGTCATGGATAGTATGATACGATTAAGATCTATAAATAATACCGGAGAAAATTCGGATATATTTAAATTATATGCTATGTTTGCAGTTCTTCGATGAATTGGTCGATTCATGCTGATTGACTTTGTCTCATATGTCTCATGTTCTAAAAAATTGCGCGGTTCTGTTCATGAGAAAAGCATGATGAACTGATGAACCATTGGGGTTCCAAATTTTGAGGTGATCCAACTCAGAAACCGCTCCAAAGCAGGTTGGAAGACAAGTCCGAGCACAGCGAGCACAGGCCACGGCTCAGAGACTTGCGAAGAACTCGAGCGGTGCCCAAAGTCCTTTTCTGAGAAGTCCAAGTAGTACCCATGACGGATCCATGGTGCTGCTATATATGCTAACATAAAGGGAATATATTGATGGGATCCATGTTACCATATATAGCAGCACCATGGATCCGTCATGGGGTATAGGCATAGGTTTCCAATCACAAATCTTGGGGAGCCTGCAACCGGCTGCTTGATCTTCCATGGAGTTGTATGCAGTTCTTAGTTTCAGTTTCGCACGTTGCCTCTTCAGCCAAGGCAACCCGCCAAGTTCCACGCCTTCACTAGTCACTTGACGCCGAAGTAGTCTGCAGTGCTTGGGTCGGTGGGGACCTTGATGAACTGCCCGAAAGGGAACTACAAGTGTTTCATCATCTACCCTCTAGTTATGTCAAAATAGCTATTGAAAATGGTCATTTATAGTGGATTTTCCCATTAAAAATGGTGATTTTCCATAGTTATGTTAGTTTACCAGAGGGTACCCATGGCAAAATAGATGCAAAACCACAGCCATTTAAGGATCATTTGCCATGGCACTGTCCTATCAAAAAGTTCTGTGCCAGCCAGAGGGCGTAAAAATCTCCACTAGTTGCTAGCGATCGAATATGACTGATGATATGATGGTTACATGTTTTCAAACAAATGATCGTGATATGTCAAAAGATGGTATATGGGCTAGGGTCATCTATCTCAGAATAGAAATCCTATGAAATCCATATTTAGGCCATCAAAATTCTCTCCAAAATAATAGGGGGATGATCACCCCCAGTGTGGGAAGGTGATCTTTTGACCATGCCACTCCAATGAGGGCATATCCAAAATATTCTAAAATTATAAAGATAGCACGGGGTGTGTCATGATATGTGAGAATTATAAATTATAATTATATAATATCGTCGTTTTCGTGGTGACATATGATGATAACTGATGATGTATCAGACGGTGAGTGTTTTACGGCCCCCACTTGGCCCCCACGGCACTGGCACGGTGGCACTGCGATGTATTCGAACGACGCCCAGCGCAGTCTTGGCCCCCACGGCACTGGCACGGTGGCACTGCGATGTATTCGAACGACGCCCAGCGCAGTTGCGGCGTTTGAAGAAGCTTTAAACAACCCGGGTCACGCCCTACAGCCAAGGAAGAGATCCACCTAAAACCGAGAAAACCATGAAATTCTGGCGGTTTCTGATCTTGAACAACACCTATAGTCTTGGAATGTCAGGAGTATCATGTAGAAATGCTTCTGGACAAACTATCAAACTGTGGAAAATAAAAACATTATAAACCTGAATGGATAATGGACCTTGCTGTTTTCATGTTTTTTTACGGGTACTTGGGCTTCAATAGGGCTCATTCACAGGGTTTTTTCTGTTGCTTCATAGCACGGAAGTTTCGGGGAAATCATAGAATTTACATCATGAACCAGCCCAGCCTGAGGATTTCATCAGCTTTTCAGAGGGGATGGTAAGTTCATATTCCAAACAAATCATGGGTCTGGGTCAAAAGTGTGGTACCGAATTTCCTCGAATTTTCCAGCGGTTTTTTTTTGTGCTAAACCATGAGGCCTGGGGAATCATTTTTTTCGGATACATCCCCTACATGGCAGTGGAAAATCATGGAAAATCCACCGGCTGAGAATTATCTCCATTTACAGATAACTTTGACTCTTTGACCCACACCCATCCCTATGTATATGTGTATACATCTATATGAATACAATCTAATACGTATATATATATATAATAAAGTATAATTATGTATAACCCATATATATTTTTTCCTGTAAGAACCTGCACCACTCCCTCACCAAATAATATCAAATAATGGATCAAGATGGATCAAGCTCCATAGCTGCGGGACGTTTGCCCCAAGGCAGTTTCATACCTCTGAGCGGACCGGTAAACCCGTGGCTGATGGCAGCCCCAGAACCCCAGAAACCCATACTACTCCCAGGGAAGATTGCAAGATGATGAAGAGTCCCATCGTTGTCCCTATAAATTCCATGGACGAGGACATAAACCAAGCCGATGTTGAATTTACCTATAGAAAATGCTGCTCCAAAGAGCAAAAACCTGCAGATATGTGCAAACAGTCCCACCTTAAGGGAACTAAACTCACATGGAAGAAATCCCTGAAACATAGTCAGTTTATAATTCCAGGAATTAGTCACTAGTCTAAATCGGGGATATAAGTATAGCTAAAGAGCATTTAAATATATATATATAATATCATGCAGAATATATATATATATATGTATATATGTATATACAGTATACATATATAATCATATATATATATATGGAAATTAATTGGATTAATGCTAGTAAAGCAATGCCATAAACCACCCATATGGTCTGATTGTTTATATTGTTTATACCACCTCTCTATGGGAAAAATGGGGATGGTTTACTATTGCTTTACTAGCATTACTGCAATTATCTGCAATTACACATCAAGAAATAACCGACAACATCCAAAGTCCATGCTTTTCGATAACAAAACCTTGACCAGAAAACCCTTGCAAAAAGAGACCTGGTGGACCGTGGTTTTCTTCTCACGCCAAGCTGTTATTCTGGGGAAAATCCGGACCACGCATTTTCTACAGGCTGTGAATCATACCCATAGGATCCATGTATGCTATATATTATGGTAACATTTACCATCAATATACCCCCTTTATGTTAGCATATGTACCATACATGGATCCTATGAGATACTTACAAAAATCTTGAAATCATACTCCGGACGGTTCCGTTCGGCTTCGCCCCGCGACCTCCTCCAGGTCGTCATCCTCGTCATCCTCCACCGCAGGCGGCAGCAGAGTGAGGGCCTCGAAGGTCTCAAGCTCAGCCTCCTCCAACTCCAGCTCCAGCGCGCGCGCGCAAAGGAGGATTCGCCAGGACTCGGGCACCTTTCGGAGCCCGGACGTTGGGAAAGGATGGGATTTTGGTACTGGGAAATCTGAGGAAGTTCAAGAAATGTGACATGGTTGACATGGGTTGACGTTGGCAACTTGATACAGTCGGAAATCATTGAGTCCGGAAGATCGGTTGGCGGGTTTTTCAACCCATCCCACAAATGTTAGTCATCTCAAAGAATCATCCCAAGTCTTAAAAAATCATGTATATATATATATTGTTAATCTATTTATATATATATTATTAATCTATCTATATATATAAATATGACTGTATATATAATATTTGGCTTGGTTTGGCGGTTTGATATTTGAACCCCCCAGCCAGTCCCTCAATTCAGGTCATTTTCGCTCCATCCGCCTGTTCGTCCAAATGATATGCCGCGTACTGCGCGACTTGCACGATGCTGCGGAAGCGCGCGGCCAAGGAGTCGGCGCCACGCGCAGTGAGTGAGTTGAAATGGCCAAAGGTATCGGCCCCTGCAGCGTGGAGGGGACCCACGATCCCACGGTGAATAGATCAGTGGGAAAAAAAAAGTTCACCAAGAAGGCTACGGTTATCCAATCTATGCATGAACTAGCATGAACTAACTATATGATACTATATGGTTATTAGAACTAGCATGAACTAGGTATGATTATTAACTACTTACGATCAGTGGGATAATCCTCCAAGTGCTACCCTCATCCACTCGTTTCTCGTTTCGGTGATTCTTTCACTTTATATTGCCACAGGTGGAGGTGAAACTTGGCTTGGGGCACCTTTTTGTTCAACCCACCATGGTTTTCTCAACAGGCATTTGGAACTAATTCACTATACAATGTATACTAATGTTCTGGTTACCTGGGGTACCCAACAAATGAAGGTGACTAGTGGCTTCGCGAATCAGTCACCCCGTAACCTGTGTCTCCCTAACAAACACCCCACAGGTTCTCTTGGGTGCTCCCATGGAGGTGGGAGTGTTCATGGGCGGACCTCGAAATTTAACATAGCCATGGTATACATGGCCCATAGAAATAGATGGTTTACCTATGAAAAACGGTGGATTTGTCCATAGTTATGTAAACGTTTACCAAGGGCAATACAAAAATCCCAATACAATCTGTTGCAATCACGAGCTGACTGATGGATTGGGAATTCTAAGTCAAATGGGTGGCCCTAAAGTGAAGGACCCGAAATCATCAAATTTGTCGCTTTTTGATTCAAAAACCAAGGCTGATAAATGCTGATAAGGGGTACCCCAATTTTTGAGAAACATCCAAATCACTGGGGTCTATTGTTTATCATAACTTCCCCTTGATATCATATATAACTCAAACAGAAACCATGGTTGAGTCGTGGAAACCATAAGGTACTCATGAGTATTTGATCAGGCCATGAGAGGCCCTTGCCTAAACCACGCAGAATCGCCGTGGCTAACTGCTGGATCTGCCTGGCACAGGACAATGACTTGAACGGGAGAGAAATCATTTGAAGCCAACAAGTCAATTGGTTCCTTCCCCAAACAAAATGTTTGAGACATCCCAGAAACCATGGTGGATGTAGGGGATGAAATCACATATGACTGGGACCATAGAATGAGGACCTTTCATTCTATGGAGGGTTGGGATTCATCAACATCATTGGTTGACATCTGTTTACAGCAACCGCTGTAAACCCCTCAAAGTGATCGTTCCCCATAATAAAGTACAACAAATTGGGTTTACCTTCACATTCAACCAACCAGGGGCTTCTGGATTCAGGATCAACATACCATCCGCCCAACAATATCCCCCCATGTATTCCCGAAATGAACAGATTCACTACTTGAAGGTGTTTCATTGTTACGTTTCGGAAGTTTCTCCAAAAACAATCAAAAACATAGAAATTACCCTTATTCAGCGCAAGTTTGGCCTAGGGGAAATGATTGGTTGCTAAACCATTTCGGATTTATAAACCATCCGAAACCCTTGAAGAAAAATTGTGTATGTAATTAAATATATATATATATAAACCATGGCAAATATGTAGGTGCCCCATTTTTGGACAACCCATTGTATTGAGTCAACAGCACATTGCATCTGCTCCACCATGGTTGGCCCTAGTTATCCTCTGGTAATCAAACGTATAGCTTTCCATGGCCTTGGAATCCACTTACCATTGACCTGTGGCTAAATGAAAATAACTCACCGAACTCATGTTCGGGCAGAACTTGGGACCCACGACTGGAGTATCATCCAAGTGGAATTGTTTTTGTGGTTTGAAGAGAAGCCTAGGCCTAGTAAGTCCCCATTCAGTACGGTTATTCCACATATATACACCACTGGTTTATCACCCCATTTACTAACCATCTCATCAACTTGGAACTGATATACATCCAATATCTCCATTGTATATTATATAACTATGTATTATATATATATATTATGTTATAAATTGTAAAGCATATAATATATACTATATATAATTATATCCCAATATCCCTATCATTTATTGGCCAGCCACTTTTCCTCTACGGAAGATGATCTTCCAATAACCCGCCGCGGCGCCTCGCGTCCTGCAGGTATCGCGTTGGATTCCCGGCCGCCTCTGCCACGCGCGCGATCTGCAGCAGCTGCCGTTGCCGAAGCCAGGCCGGGCCCCAGTGCTCCAACCTGCGCACTAAAACTGGGTTAAAATCCTGGGGATTTTACATAAACTATGGGGAATTGGAGGGGTTCTCTGTCCTATGGTTTTTTTCGAGGCAGCGATCCTGAAACCTGAGTTGTTGGGGAACATGTTGTAGGACCTGTAGGAAATCATGATGAACTTCGGCTCAAATCTGGGGAAGTCCTGTGATTTTTTCAATTGTGGCATTGGTCAATGATGGTGAATGCAAATCTCACTATCCACTTAGCACTTCAAATTTTCTAGATCGAAACGTTCGGCTGCTCAAAAAGTTGATTGTTTGGGGATTGGAGATACCAGTAATTCTGGAATTTGCTATGTGCTCACAATTTCATATCTCGACTGCCGGCTTTGGAAGTTTTGAATTCCCCCGCCCACGAAAGCATCAGCACTACAAAGCAGGAGCCCAGAATGGCCATCCAAGCAGGCTGGTTGAAAAAAATCAACCATCCAAAATATATGGAGGTTTCCATAGTCATGGGGTTACCCCACTAGCTGGATGATTTATTTTCCATGAAAATCCCATCTATAAATATCATCTATAAATGGATGATGTAGCCCTGGGTAGCCCTATGACGAATCGGAAACCCCCCAATCCATGAGTTGAATCCGATCAGAATCCCATGGAGGGATGATCATTGAAGCCATGGCCATAGAAATAGTGAGTTTTCCCATTAATAGCATGGTGGATCTTTCCAGTTCGCAAACTGTAAACGTTTACCAGGCCGGGTAACAATATATGAAAATCAATCAATATATGGGATTCATATGGATTCATGATGATTCATGAATATATCGGTTGATTAAAATCAGTCATCACATGATCATCAAATAAAATCAACCCATGTGATTCGCCTGGGCTTCATCTGCTGGTGCAAGGCGCGATTCACCTGCAGCATCGGCGCCATGTAGACGCCGAGACCGCCGGACAGCCACTGCAACATCATCGGTGCCTCGTAACGTCATGGTGCGTGGCCTTTAAAGGTACCCGGGAAACATGCAGATGTGGAAAAACCAATGGTTTTTTGTGGGAAAATAATCTACAAATGATGGGTAAGCTCCACATCTATGTTTACAGGAGGGTATGTAAGGGAACTAAGGATGACATCCGATCTACCTCATGACTGTACAAAAGGTCAAGTTACGTGGGATGAAAGTGGTAACATCAATGCCATGCCATGGGAAATCCGCCAAAAATATGGGATATGCTGGCTATCTAGATCATATCAATGGATTGATGACCATCCCCCAATATGGCTATCAAGTCCATCTTATGACCATGACATACCATGACACACATGACCAAACACGACTGGTGATTCCTATCGCGATCAGCCAAGGAAAAAACATTGCAGCCTGGACTGGGAACCCTGTCAGTGGGACACCCAACATAACAAAAAACAGCTATAATGCTGATCCCTCTTTCAGGCAAATGATTCATATTACCCATTATTACCCACCAGAGTGGTAATTCCCAAGTACCCTCTGGTGAACTAACATAGCAATGGAAAATCACCATTTTCAATGGGAAAATCCACTATAAATAGCCATTTTCCATTGCTATGTTAGTTCACCAGAGGGTATCTGAGAGATTCAAGTGAGTCATATTGAAACTTTCTGGGAAAGAGTTTTCTCCATTGCAGTGATCGATTCTGTTTGGACCCCCAGCGGTGACATGGAACCATGTTTTCCATGTCATCATGGCCGTACCCACTGATCATAAACCATTCTTATGGCTGAATCCTAGCACTAAGATTAGCAATCTCCCAAATATATCCAAATATCACGTCGAGAGGCCGGATCCTAACAACGGTTCTGGTTCTGTCGCCATTTAGATTGGGAAGAGTGACCTGTCACTTTGTAGAAATCCAGTTCGTGCCTAGGATCCCATAGTAAGAACGTTATAGCGTTGACGACAAAAGAGGACTTTGCCATTGGTAACTGCCACCATGTTACACCCGTGTTTTTGCTTGTCCCTCCCCAGCCTTTGGCTGGCTCCACCATGAAAATGAACCACTTTCAAGTATTGGCTTCGAGATCTACCCAACAATTACTGGTAAAGTAGACGACTGGATGGATAAATAGTACCGCATGAGTTATGCTACTCTCTGGTAATCAAACATGGCAATGTTTCAAAATTCCCCATTTTGAAGAGGAGAAAATCCCAGCGAACTACACCGGAGGATAACCCCCGAAGAATCAACAGATCCCCAAGTGCATTCCACCAGGGTAAGGCGGGTAAGGGTTCTGAATATCGGACAGGGATGATTGACATATTGAGGTTCCCAGAAATGGGGGTACCCCCAGATCATACATTTTTATATATAGGATTTTCCATGAAATAAGCCATCCAGCTATTGGGGTAACCCCATATCAGGAACCCCACATATATTGAAAAATAGAGCATAATAAAGCCATTGCCCAACAGTAAACCTTCATTGACGTACTTTGTATACTCTCAAATGGTAAAATTCGGCAAGTGGGGTATGATGCAATATGATTTACCCTCCTGTAAACTAATCATAGATTCATAAGTGTGGAAAACCCTGCATTTTTGCATCATGTTACCATGTTCCAAACGGGAAACCCCATGAGTTTTCCACAGCTTACCACGTCAATTTCGGTCTCCAAAATGGTGTTGATGATCCCCCTGGTTCCCCATTTTGCACCTCCAAGGCCTCATATTCACCGCCGCTACCAGGCACGCTGGACATCTGACGAACTGTCTGACGGCGCAAGGTTCGGAATGGAAGCACTGAGCCGAAAGGTGGGCCCCTGCGATGGTGAAAATCTGGAGTCGAAAAAACTGGGCTGTTCATCATGGGGTACCACAAAAAATAGCAGTTTCAGTCACTATTGTGGGAGAAACCCCAGGATTTTTTGTATCAACCAGGGGGTTAAAAAAATCCAGGGTTCACATTATCATGTCACCACAAGAAGTCCTGGTGGGATGTCTTGCTTGGGCTCGGTGCAACGAAATTTCAAGCTGCAGTCCACAGCATGCCCCGAAGCTTTCCAAAGACTTCATCTGGTTGGTGGTGCAATAACCCATGACGGATCCATGGTGCTGCTATATATGGTAACATGGATCCCATCAATATATCCCCTTTATGTTAGCATATATGCCAGCACCATGGATCCTATGGGTAATTCATCTGTTTTTTTGTTTAACCATCTTGAAAAATGATGGAGTTAATGGGAAGGATGACATCCCATATATGACAGAAAATAAAAGTCATGGTCCAAACCACCAATCATTGTAGCAACAAAACAACATGGTTGGGGCCGGGGAGTCTGATGAAGACACCATCAGGTTGTTACCCCTGGAGATCCAAAATCATTTTGGAAAATCAGTTTAAGTCCACTCCGAATGAAGGCTGTAGCGGTTGTAAGTGGGTATATATCCCATAGGATCCATGTATGCTGCTATATATGGTAACATTTACCTTTAAAATCACCCAGTTTTGTAGGTAAATATACCAGCACCATGGAGCTGGGTATATATCACTCCGAGGGTCAAGATGTTCACTTCTTCACTCCACTTTCTGAAAAAACTATCTGTGGGCTTCAAAGGAGCATCCCATGCCGGTGAACTCCTAGGCATTCCTCCGTGGCTGGTGGTCTTTGAGAATTCTGTGTCTTAAACATGGTACCTTTTTTAAATGTTCTTAAAATGCTACAGGATGGTGCCCCCCAGTTACAAGTTTGGTTTACAAACCCCATTAACTATAGTTATATCTACCATAGTAAATGGGTCATTTTAAAAAAAAGTTTACATCATCATCTACGGTGGTTTTGAACCACCCATTTCTCCGAAGAGAAAAAAAAATCTGTGTCCCCCCACACTTGCGCGCCGTCGAACTGCTGCGGATGCCTGAACTCTATGGCAGAAACAGCTTGTAGCAATGGGGAAAACCCAAATAAAACATCCCCATAAAATCATCATATGGCAGTGTGTCAAAACCTTGTACCCCTGGTGAACATCAAAATAGCTGGTAAATGGATGTTCATCCCCCTAAAAATGGTATTAATAGGTATTGATCCATACCCATATAAATGGGTTGTATAAATTCATCCCCAAGTTTGGCAGGTTTATGGCAGGGTTGCCCTTAAATAATGAGCCCCGATACGGTAGCCCCAAAAAAAACAGCACGGTGCTGCTGAGTGCAGCACACCGATGGCAGCCATGCACACCTTGGACGCATTCGATCGCCCCATATTCCATAGGATCCATGGTGCTGCTATATATGGTAACATGGATCCCATCAATATATCCCCTTTATGTTAGCATATATGCCATACATGGATCCTATGGGTATGTATTTGAACCGTATACCATATTATAAACAATTATAAGTATATATTATATATTATTATCAACAATATTATATATATATACCCTTCGACAGAAACATACGCTGTGTGCAATCTAGTTGGTGCAGTAAAGCCAACAGAAAAAACACTTGTTTCTCCTAGGGCCTGGAGACCATGTTCGAATCCAGAGCCGCCGTCGCCGTCCCACAGCAGTGACATATCAAACTGCTAGGGAGAGTTTCTGCCCAACACGGAAAACAGCACCAGCCCTCTATGGTTGTCATATTCCACGTGTTTTTTCTCGGTTGACTCAAAAAGATTCATCCCCTCATTTCCATGTTTTCAAAAATCAAAAAAGTGCGAGCCCGAAAATGGCACAAAGTACACTGATGAACATGACCACAATCTGTGGTTCCCACCGCTCTAAAAATTCTTTGATCCACAATTGAAGTCTTTGTCAATAGGCAATCTGCCATAAACTGGTGAATAAATTCACCAAACAAACAAAAAGTCATTGAAGTCTTGGGGAGTTTTTGTTGGCCCAGTCTTGGTTGGGTGAAATCCACATCTTTCTTGAAGCCCTCGTTTTCTTAGTTAACATCCTATTTCTCCTTAGTTAAACTTCCATGTTTCTGCAAATCCCAAGGTTTACCCTTTGGTCATGAAAAATGGGGACAAGTCATGACAAGTCCACAAAATTCATGGCTGATTCTCCCATTAAAAAAAATCACATTTCGTTCGGGGATTTTCTGCTCTGTTTGATGACACCAGTGACACCACCATTTTGGTCACCCCGCCGCGGCTGAAGCGGCTCCCGTGGCTCCCCAGGCACTCGAGCGTGGCGCGGCTCCTAGGGTCCAAAATGGTCCAAAACTACCCATAGGATCCATGTATGCTGCTATATATGGTAACATGGATCCCATCAATATATCCCCTTTATGTTAGCATATACCATGGATCCGTCATGGGTTAGGTAGGGGTAGATCATTTATGATTGTTGAGTTTATGCTGGGCTGATCCATCGGAAAGAACTTCGGGAGCCCAGCCCTGGCGGCCCTGGTCCTTCGTGAAAACCCCGTAGACCCGGACCCGGACTCAGCTCCCTTGGCGCTGGCGTCAGGAAGGCATAGGCACTTCCACCTGCGGAGCCACGGTGGAAGAAAGGGATACCCAGACCCTCCCAGTACACGTAAAAATGCTGTTTCAGTACCCATAGGATCCATGGTGCTGGCATATATGCTAACATAAAGGGGATATATTGATGGGATCCATGTTACCATATATAGCAGCACCATGGATCCTATGGGGTATGTTTTACTGTTTTACCCCATAACCTTTCACCGTTTTGGATGGTATTTGTAGGTTTTGATATGAAAAAAAACGCAGAAAATTGAGGAAACCAATCGAATTTCGGGATACTGGAAATGATTGGGAGCAGGTCAAAAGCATTCAAAACCAATTTTCCCACATGATTTGGTCAATTAACATCATATTGTCCACTAGGGTTCCCTGGTTTTGACTGTTTAGACCTCTATCCAAAATCTTGGCTTCGAATTTACCACAGACCAAAGTGACCCCCTTGCAAACATGGAATGCCCCTAAAGTCCAAAGACCTTGCTTTGGAAGGTCTTTCACCACCGTTTTAGTAACAAAAGACATCAGAAAGTATCTTTGGAGCCAACTGGACTCACAGGGAATGAACAGATCGGCCCTGCCCATTCTGTGAAGGGACATCTTTTAGGAGAAACTCTGAAATTCAATGGGAAAACATATGGTATGTGATGGTATCTTACATATGTCCATGTATTTCCTGTAGAAATTTCCATGTGTATCTATGTGTATATATGTATCTGTATATTATATAATGTAAACCCTGGATTAATAAACCCCTAGATTGTTTAATTAGGAGGGTACCATTTAAGTATCAGATTATGACTATTGGAGGAGTACCCCCCTAATTGATAAACCATGGTCTATTAATCCGGGGTTGACATTATATATATATATATATATGTATATATATATATGGGATGGATGGGTCAAGTTACATATGAAATTGTCATAGGATGTCATAGGGGACCATCCATTCACCAACCAGCTGCTTTTGGGCCCCCAACCAGCTGCCAGGGCCAACAGCCAGGGCCAGCAATTCGCCATGAGCCTCGAGGCCAGGGCGAAAATCCCATGGAAAATCGCCATTTTTTCCCAGCGAAATCATGGTACCCTCCGGTAAACTAACATAACTATGGAAAATCACCATTTTTAATGGGAAAATCCACTATAAATGGCCATTTTCAATAGCTACGTTAAATTGCCAGAGGGTAAATCATAGATTTCTTTCTATTTCTATGGGCAATTCTCGAAAAAGTGATGTAAGAATGACTTTTTAGGGTCCATCTGGACACTGAGAAATAGATCAACAAATCAACCTCATTGAAGGCATAGATCTTCCCGATGAACGTGGAATAGAAATGATGGGAACACAACCAAACAAAACTATAGAAACATGGACATGCAGAGCGGACCTGAGCTATCCTTAAATCATTTGAGGGTTTCCATACATGGGGAAATTCAATAGCTGGATGGTTCATAATGGAAAATGCCCCCAAAAAAATGGATGATGTAGGGGCCCTGTAGGGGTACTCCCATTTTAGGAATTTTCATTTAAAATATAGTTAAATGATGTTAATGGTTGTTCGCGTTTGAAAAATTGGTGACCCTGGAGTCGACATGATGGGAGATACCGACGTTAAGGACACGTTGGAGGTGTCTTAGGTGCTTTCATTTTGGCATCTCCAAAACATTCCCAAGGTGCTGCCAGGTGGTGTCCCCTATGTTGGTTTATAAAGTTCTTCCAAAAGCCTAGTGTTACTAGTTGTGTTCACCAAGCTAGCGGGGCACCGCTAAGAACGAGGCTTTCACAGGATGCAAAAGTGAAAACAATGGGAACATTCATACCAATATGCTCCATGTATATCCATGGTGCTGGTATATTTACCTACAAAACTGGGTGATTTTTAAGGTGTAAATATGTTACCATATATAGCAGCACCATGGATCCGTCATGGGATATGGCGGATATGGAAACCTGTGAATCTGATGGTGGCAGCTTCTCCCATGGAATTCCGGTCAGGGTCAATGGGGGTATGGCGCGTTTTGGGGGGTTACCATTGTCTCCGTAGGAAATCATAGAAAATATATCAAATCAATTTAGGTGTGTCTATTGAGACCCCTTAAGGTTGGATGTTTTGAAGCCAATTCTTGATGATCTTGATGGTTATGAATCATACCGTAAATCAAAGCATGTGCCAAATCCTCATTTTCGGACGTGAACCGTCAGATGCTTTGCCTTGTGTCCAGTCGGAGCGCCGGATTCGCACTACGCCGGACTCCGCCGAGGTTGCGCTGAGCCCAAGCTATGGGTCACCAGTCGTGTCGCAAGAAAGGTCATGTGGGCAACCCACTCCAGCAATTCATGGGATGATGGGAAAATGCTGGAAAATTGCTGGGGATTACATATGTTTTTTCACATACATGGCATATCATGGCATTATATGAGGGCTTTTATCCAGTGATGTTGGTAAAGCCAATGATATATATATATATATATATATGTATAATTACATATATATATATATATGTATAAACAACAAGCAAACTTGGGGATGATGCATACTATACCATCCAGAAAATTGGTGATGGCTTGGGGATGGTTTGTGGCATTGGGTTTACCACACTGATGGTATTTAGTTTGAAACCATCCATCTATTGAGTGCCAATAATTTTGAGCCACTGCCCATGGATATCCCAAACATAAGGTACAGTATTGTACCCACTTTTTGAGCCTTGAACTATCTATCCACGACTCATAGATAAATTGTCAAGAAAAGGGTCAACCTAGACTACCCAGACCCTTCAAATCCCCCCAAAAAAGATCAAAAAAGTGGTAAAAGTACGAAGATACTAAGATCATGGGGTAAAACCACTAAAACACCATTTCTAAAGCTACCTGGAGGGTCTATCACCCGCTGGGATTGGCACTGTGGGGTCCCCAAGAATCAGATATGATAGATATGTGGAGCACAGTACAATCTGTGGTAAGCCCCAAAAAGATGCTGAAGAGTGATATTTATCACCATTTTCATTCAGATTTGACGTTTCGGCATCTTTTTGGACGGTTACCACACATTGTCACATTCAACATGACCAGTCTATCTGCATCTGGTCTTCAGTTTCGACTTTGACCCCATACCGGCGTACATCTTGAAGCAAGAAGTGCCTGAGTGTGAATTGTGACACCAAAAATGAGAGGCTCGAAGAAAACACATGGCGCTTCCTGCAAATTGAAAGGCAAATCTTCTTCTGTTGATTCTCGGACGTTTTTTGATGGCCTAGATATTTGCTCATGAATTTGTTGCGCAATCAGATATTCATCAGTGGCTTAATCTCGGTGGAAAACAGCTCAGCGAGACCTGCACGTTCCCCATAGGATGTTTTTCAACAAGGGTATACCGTAGGCTTTCGAGGAACATGGCCGCAAGAGAGGCACAGCCCATCTTTTTTCGGTCGCCTCTGGGCTCAGTAGGGCTGGGACCGCTCCTTGCTCGACTCCGTCCGCAGAGCAACAGAGGTTGGAGCATCTGGCAGAGCAATGGCCCAGTGTAGAAGAGCAACAACCCAGCTACCAACCATTTGAGCCTGTCCAAAAACATGGGGTATTATATATATATATACATCAGAATACAACATGAAATTCAATTATTGTTTGTTAGAAAACTGCCGGTCATCCCAATTCTGCCCAAAAAAAAACACCTATGACACATGGGGACCCTGCAAAGTGAAAAATACACCTGGCCGCGGTTTCCACCTGTTAATCGAAATCCTAAGGGTCCTTGGTCCTAGGAGTCTTAGGCACTGACATTTACAATGAAAGATCAAGGTATTGTAAATCGGAAACTATCCAACTAGAATCCCAGACCGCAAGGATTGCCATCAGATAGTGTGCTATATCATATCAAACATAGATCATATGAATCATATGTCATTAAACAAGACATTGTCCAAAGAAAGTTTGCCTCGCCAACATCATATGAATCGCTATAATTCGATCGCTATAGATTTCTTCCTACCTAGACTCTAGACCCTCCAAGTACCTGAAAATAATGTTTTATCCGATAATCTTAGTACTTTTACCATTATTGGAGGGTACTTGAAGGATATTTCCCATGTCATGCAGAGGTATCGCCTGAAGTTGATCCATTGCCACCGGCACATCCGCCGTTGCCGCAGCAGCCGCCACATCCACCATCACAACCATTGCAGCTGCCGCAGCCAGTGCAACCGCACGGACCGCAGCCGCAGGAGCCACAACCACAGCCCCCGCAACCACCACAGCCACAACAGCCACAACCTCCACAACCTCCGCAGCCACAGCCACCACACCCCCCGCAGCCACCGCAACCACATCCTCCACAGCCACAGCCGCAACCGCCACAACCACAGTTGCAACCACATCCACAGCAGGGGCCGCAATTTCCACAGCCGCAATTTCCGCAGCCGCAATTTCCGCAGCCGCAGTTTCCGCAACCTCCGCAAGTTCCACAGCCGCTGCAATTTCCGCAGCCGGGACAATTGCCACAGCACCCGCAACCGCTGCAGCCACAGTTGCCACAGTTGCCACAGCCACAGGAACTGCTACAACTCCCACATCCACCGCAGCTACCACAACCGCATCCTCCGCACCTCAGTCGTGCTCCATGGCACGCAAGTGGTAAGCAGCAAGAAGCTTGAAGGACTGTTGAACATGCCCGACAATATCCAGTGAAGATCTTTGGATGGTTGAAAAAGTATATGCATATTCTCAGCGCTTTCCTTCTCTATCCTGTTTGTTTGGAGGGTTTATATTTATATTTTATATTATTTTATATATAATTATAGTTTGAAGTTTGTGCAGATTCTGTGCTGCTTCCTTGCAGCTGTGACAGGGCTCAAGGTCATAGATGGAGAAGATTCAGCGTGCTTAGGATGCTGCGCATGAGGACCTGGGAGCTCTGGGCCCCGCACCCGCCGCAAGGGCAGCCGCAACCACCGCAACATCCACAGCCGCAGTTGCCACAGCCACCGCAACCACCGCAGCCACCGCAGCCACCGCAGCCACCGCAGCCACCACAGCTACCGCAGCCACCGCAGCCGCAGCCGCAACCGCCGCAGCCTCCGCAGCCACAGTTGCTTCCACAGCTGCCGCCCTTTCCGCAGCCACCCATCATCATAGGGTTCATGCCTCTTATGGCTGTATGGTTATAGAGGTCTAGGGCCAAACCCACAAAAAGGAATTACATAATCACAAAGAAAATATATGGTTGACACCGCCTTTGTGGAGGGTCTGAAGGTCTTGACTCGCATCCATTTATAGCCATGAGATCCACAGTTTTTAGGACAGGATAGGTATCAAATTGAAAGACCCCTCTGGAATCGCCCCCTTGGCCTACAAGGCATGTATTCATGTATTGCTGTCCATGCTGTCCAATCATCAAATATCAATCTTCCACAGAATCCACATGAAATTCATGTCATGAATGGCAAAAAACGGCCGCTGCAATGGTCCACTTCATGGCCAGGTAGCCCATCATCATCGGCATCATGCTCATCATGGCCTGAGGCTCAACCCCCCGAAACTGGTCGTATCGTGGCGATGTGTGTGGGTGTGTCACGGTTGAAACCAATGAAGCTACCATCATTTTGTATCGTTTTTTTATGGGGGGAAGATGAATCACTTTGGAGTACAGTACTTGGGGCTGCAGTTCAGTTTCAAGTGGGTTATATGGGGATGGGTCAAAACCCTGGTACCTAGTGAACCCCAAAATGTCTGGTAAATGGATGTTCATCCAACTAAAAATGTATCTATAGGTATTGACCCATACCCATATAAGTTACAGTATATATTATATACCCAAAATTATAAGGGTTATGTCCCAATTTATGGAAATGATTCCCATAGTTATGCCCATCAAGAACCCCAACTGCACCCTCATTGAATCAAACGGGGCATCCTTGAGCCATGAATTGTTGGAACCAAAAAACCTGAATTCTTCTCGAGAACACCCAAGTCTGCTGGGTTCAACTTTCAGCTCCAAAAAATATTGAAGTTGATTGCGGTTCATCATTCAAAATAGAGCTGTTTCCAGCAGGCCGCGATTGATGCCTGTTGTGCTCATCAAAGGGGTGATATGTCCCATCCCCCCTGACCGATGTTGGGGTTTTTCAGTCCCCCGTGTTATTAAAAAAAAAAAAAAACACGGTCATGAAGATTGCCAACTGAGCCATAAAAAACAGCGCTATCCCATTCTATTGATTATTGGTTGGTTAGTTCATATTCCTATTTCGGACGTTTGATGACACCAGAGAGTATCAAGAATGAGGACTAGAATCAGGACTGGGGATGAAAATGGGAATATTATGGGATATGTATATATATATATATACACCTACAAAGATCAACCAGATTGATGTACGGTGGATGAGCTACATATCAGATAGTTAAAAGTGATTGTTGGATTTAGATAGTTAACAGTGGTTAGTAGTATTGAAAAGTAAAACCATCAGAAACATAGCAAATTTCATCTGGAATATACCCAAATATATACTTTGGATGATGTGTCATTTATATGTGAACAATGTGGGTAAAACAATGTCATAAACTATCCCCCAGTCATCACAAATTTTATAGGTGGTATGTTTACCATTCCCAGTCATGGGTAGTTTATGACATTGTTTTACCCACATGATTCAGTATTGGTGGTTATTAATGATTCTAAAATGGTTAATGATGATTCAACGGTGATTAATTAATGGTGATTATATGTGACTATGGCATTGTTTTACCCACATTATTCGGTATTAGTGGCTATTGATGATTCTAGAATGGTTAATGATGATTCAATGGTGATTAATTCATGGTGATTATATGTGATTATGGCATTGTTTTACCCACATTATTCAGTATTAGTGGTTATTGAAAAATTCTAGAATGGTTAATGATGATTCAAAGCTGATTAATTAATGGTGATTATATGTGATTATGGCATTGTTTTACCGACATTATGCAGTATTAGTGGTTATTGATGATTCTAGAATGGTTAATCATGATTCAATGGTGACTAATTAATGGTGATTATATGTGATTATGGCATTGTTTTACCCACATTATTCAGTATTCGTGGTTATTGATGATTCTAGAATGGTTAATGATGATTCAATGGTGACTAATTAATGGTGATTATATGTGATTATGGCATTGTTTTACCCCATATTATGCAGTATTAGTGGTTATTGATGATTCTAGAATGGTTAGTGATGATTCAATGGTGACTAATTAATTGTGATTATATGTGATTATGGCATTGTTTTACCCACATATGATTGAAGAATGGTTAATGATGATTCAATGGTGATTAATTAATGGTGATTATATGTGATTATGGCATTGTTTTACCACATTATTCAGTATTAGTGGTTTTTGATGATTCTAGAATGGTTAATCATGATTCAATGGTGATTAATTAATGGTGATGATATGTGATTATGGCATTGTTTTACCCACATTATTCAGTATTCGTGGTTATCATGATTCTAGAATGGTAAATGATGATTCAATGGTGATTAATTAATGGTGATTATATGTGATTATGACATTGTTTTACCCACATGATTCAGTATTCGCGGTTATTAATGATTCTAGAATGGTTAATGATGATTCAACGGTGATTAATTAATGGTGATTAAATGTGACTATGGCATTGTTTTACCCACATTATTCAGTATTCGTGGTTATTGATGATTCTAGAATGGTTAATGATGATTCAATGGTGATTAATTCATGGTGATTATATGTGATCATGGCATTGTTTTACCCACATTATTAAGTATTCGTGGTTATTGCTGATTCTAGAATGGTTAATGATGATTCAATGCTGATTAATTAATGGTTATTATATGTGATTATTGCATTGTTTTACCCACATTATTCAGTATTAGTGGTTTTTGATGATTCTAGAATGGTTAATCATGATTCAATGGTGATTAATTAATGGTGATTATATGTGATTATGGCATTGCTTTACCCACATGATTCAGTATTAGTGGTTATTGATGATTCTAGAATGGTTAATCATGATTCAATGGTGACTAATTAATGGTGATTATATGTGATTATGGCATTGTTTTACCCACATTATTCAGTATTTGTGGTTATTGATGATTCTAGAATGGTTAATGATGATTCAATGGTGACTAATTAATGGTGATTATATGTGATTATGGCATTGTTTTACCCCACATTATGCAGTACTAGTGGTTATTGATGACTGTAGAATGGTTAATGATGATTCAATGGTGATTAATTAATGGTGATTATATGTGATTATGGCATTGTTTTACCCACATGATTCAGTATTCGTGGTTATTGCTGATTCTAGAATGGTTAATCATGATTCAATGGTGATTAATTAATGGTGATTATATGTGATTATGGCATTGTTTTACCCACATTATTCAGTATTCGTGGTTATCGATGATTCTAGAATGGTTAATGATGATTCAATGGTGATTAATTCATGGTGATTATATGTGATTATGGCATTGTTTTACCCACATTATTCAGTATTCGTGGTTATTGATGATTCTAGAATGGTTAATCATGATTCAATGGTGATTAATTAATGGTGATTATATGTGATTATGGCATTGCTTTACCCACATGATTCAGTATTAGTGGTTATTGATGATTCTAGAATGGTTAATCATGATTCAATGGTGACTAATTAATGGTGCTTATATGTGATTATGGCATTGTTTTACCCACATTATTCAGTATTTGTGGTTATTGATGATTCTAGAATGGTTAATGATGATTCAATGGTGACTAATTAATGGTGATTATATGTGATTATGGCATTGTTTTACCCACATTATTCAGTATTCGTGGTTATCGATGATTCTAGAATGGTTAATGATGATTCAATGGTGATTAATTAATGGTGATTATATGTGATTATGGCATTGTTTTACCCACATTATTCAGTATTCGTGGTTATTGATGATTCTAGAATGGTTAATGATGATTCAACTAATTAATGGTGATTATATGTGATTATGGCATTGCTTTGTGATTAGTATTCGTGGTTATTGTGATTCTAGAATGGTTAATGATGATTCAATGTGTTTTAATGGTGATTATATGTGATTATGGCATTGTTTTACCCACATTATTCAGTATTAGTGGTTTTTGATGATTCTAGAATGGTTAATGATGATTCAATGGTGATTAATTAATGGTGATTATATGTGATTATGGCATTGTTTTTACCCACCACATTTTTCAGTATTAGTGGTTATTGTGATTCTAGATGGTTAATGATGATTCAATGGTGACTAATTAATGGTGATTATATGTGATTATGGCATTGTTTTACCCACATTATTCAGTATTCGTGGTTATTGATGATTCTAGAATGGTTAATGATGATTCAATGGTGACTAATTAATGGTGATTATATGTGATTATGGCATTGTTTTACCCACATTATTCAGTATTCGTGGTTATCGATGATTCTAGAATGGTTAATGATGATTCAATGGTGACTAATTAATGGTGATTATATGTGATTATGGCATTGTTTTACCCACATTATTCAGTATTCGTGGTTATTGATGATTCTAGAATGGTTAATGATGATTCAATGGTGATTAATTCACGGTGATTATATGTGATTATGGCATTGTTTTACCCACATTTTTCAGTATTAGTGGTTTTTGATGATTCTAGAATGGTTAATGATGATTCAATGGTGATTAATTAATGGTGATTATATGTGATTATGGCATTGTTTTACCCACATTATTCAGTATTCGTGGTTATTGATGATTCTAGAATGGTTAATGATGATTCATTGGTGACTAATTAATGGTGATTATATGTGATTATGGCATTGTTTTACCCACATTATTCAGTATTTGTGGTTATTGATGATTCTAGTTTTAGCCACATGAACCATCCGGCCTTCATCATGTTGCCCATCTTCTCATTCCCCTCATGGCTTTCTTTGGAGGGCGTCGCGGCGTCATTCCCAGCGCGTTCGCCAGCGTCAGAGGGACCTGAAGTCGTCACAGTGCGCCCCCGACGCTTCGATAGCTAGGTGGCTGTGTTTGCCTAGATGAATAAACTCCGGTTGCTCATATCGAGGTAATATAAACCTATAGATATGATAGATAAACCAGAAATAGGAAAACCTACTCTGGTTTACCTATCTACAATGAACTATAGATATAATCATATAGATATATCTAGAGTTCATGGTAAATATATCTTAGTTTATTGTAGATATAGTGATTCACCCAATAACCACAGGATGTTTATGGTAGATATATCTACTGAATTCTATTGATGGGTTAATTCAACTTAAGGTTTTATGAGATAGATCTATAGTTCATGGATTTATAAACTAACTTTTTGCTGGCCAAAAATTACAGTCCTTCCATGTCATTCCCACATCCTAACAATCATTCCCACGACCTCTCACGGTGTGAGGTTGTGAGAATTCATCCAGTATCATGAAGTATGTTGAAATTAGGGGCCCAATTTGCAATTCACATCATTTCATATGAAATTTACAGATTTGCTGAAATATGTCTTGCAAATTTGCCTTACATATTTGCCTTTGGACCCCGTAGTTTGAAATATATATATATATATCAGCATATTTCATCATACAATTTACTATAATGCCATAAGTAGGCCCTTGAAGAAAGCCAACAAAGAAATCCCAACTGGCCAAAATACCTTAATTCATTGGACCAGATTTTTGGCATTTCGATGGTGATCCTGGAAATAGCCGTCATCCCCGACATCGTACAAATTGACATGTTCAGCAAATCCATGGCTGCCGATTTAGTCCAAAAATACATCTTATTAGCCCATATTTTTTGGGTGAATGTTTACATAGATGTGGAGCTTACCCACCATTTCTAGATGATTTTCCGGTTTTCCCCCATGGCTCCTCAGCTGGCAGCTGGGCTATCCTGGCCCTGCATCGCAGCTGCCGCCTTCAAGCAACGAGCACAGCTGCGAGTCGCAGCTGGATGGCCTACTACTACTACTTATGATGATTGATTCTGGGCAAATTATAATAATTCACAAACCTGAATTAAGGCCATTTGGGGATGATTTCCCTTATTAACCATGATTCCCAGTGAGGTCGCAGTGAGGTCGTTATAATTTGCCCAGATTGATGTAATTAGACTATAGACTATATGCACTGGAAAATCATCTCTTCATTTGGACAATTTCACCTGGCAATGGAAAATCAATCTGTAAACGATCGGCAAATTGTAGGATTTCCGCCATGGCTGTGCAGTTGTGACATACAACCAGTCATGGTTGTGAGGTAGTCATGAGATGTGTTTAAAACTGTCCAAATACCAAGAATATCAATTCAACCAACTGAAGTCATCTTTCACGTTGCATCATGAACCAGCAATGGACACTTCCCCATTTACAATCATTTACATACATATATAGATTCTATAGGTGGTTTTCTCATTTCAATGCACATTGAAGTCTCCATTTACTTCGGGGATTTCCCAGCCACATTTGATGGAACCGGGGTACCCCAAGTTCCACACCCAACCCGGCAAGGCAGCGAGACCTGCAAGTACTTCTCAGCAAAGCCCGACTCGTACTCGTCTTGCGTATCTTTGGCCTCTCCGCACAGTCTTTATGAAGCCTTTTGTTGCTGATTTGGTGATTTTTGTGTGTTTGGTACCTCGCAACGCCCTATATCGTGAAGAAAATCCTTATGTTCGAATGATACACTCCGAGATATTTGGACTGATGGTCAAAAACGTTTAAAGTTTGATGGTCAAAAACACATTTTGGGCTGAATCCCCACTTTTGACTGATTACAAAGAAGAGCAACATTGTACAGTCTATGTTACGTGGTTTAAATATGTCCGAATAAAGAGAATACCAGTGACTTTCTATTTTGAATCAGCAACCAGTACTACAATTCTTGTTGGCTCAATCCCCTGTCTTCTTGTCAAATACCAATTTGTGAAACCAGTTGTTGGTCTTTGAAAGGCAATTACCATGATATTAAAATCCCAATTCTTTATATATATATACACATACGCGACCATGGTCCTTTTCAACTGTAGAGGACTTGTTTGTTTTATACAGCTGTACAAATGGTTGTAGAATACTACGCATTGCAATTCCCAAACATGTAGCCCATTTTAAGATTTTTACGAAACTTTCCAATGCCATCATCTGCAGCGAGAAGTTTTCAGTTCGGAAGTGTGCAGTTCCCGCGGATGTTTTTATGGCTGCCTGTGCGCATGTGATTTTCCAGCACCTCTAACAAGGTTTTCTTCAAGGAGCTAAGGAGCTCAGACAGACTGAGAGGACGTCACCATTTCGGATGTCACCAGGATCCAACATCTTTGGTGAACCATGCCTGGAGGATCATCCCACGAATCGTAGCTGCTCTTAACAGCCACCCTTTTGTAAAAAAACGTTGTTTTTCTGGATTTGTTTAACATACTGAGGGACAAACCTCGACTAACCACTGGACCACAACCATGTGCTCCATGATCCGTGGGATGATATGGATGATTCATGATGATTCTCCATACCCTCTGGTAAACTAACATAACTATGGAAAATCACCATTTTCAATGGGTAAATCTTGGGCCCTGGGTGGGCCTCTATCTCTGTTGCAAGAAAATCATGCCCTGGAACTATTTATAAAATTGCCAGGAACTATTTATAAAAATAAATGGAAATATGCTCCGATATTGCCACGATATAAGCAATATGACGACAATACAGTAATACTGTACCTTTACTTTCCTGCAGCTGTGGCCTTTAGAAATAAATCAGAAGCATCGATGCAATGCGCGTGTGAAAACACACACACACACACACACTGAGCGTCCAAACTTGCCAAGTTTTTTTCCCCGCTGCTGGAGCACACTGTCGTGGAGGGCTGCTTCACATCCATTCGGTCCATTCTCCCTAAACCAATGGTTTTCGGCCATCCTAAAGCAGTGCGACACCATTGTGTCAACATCGGTTCTGTTCCCATCCTCCTTTCAAGCTTTCAAGCGGAACAAAAAGGCTCCACTACTGTCAGTGAGCATCAAAATGCCTAAAAGGTGACAAAGCGGAACATTCACTTTTTGGTCTTTTTGGCCTTGGGTTCCTTTGGATTTGGCTTTGCCTTGGGCGTGTTCCGCCTCTTCTGCGTCACTTTGCCAGCACGTTGCATGGAGTTAGATTGAAAGTCAAGTATTTCATGATATGCCTCGTAATATCGTGGTTTTGGTAATCGACAAAAAATGAGCTTATTTTCGAAATTGAAAATCGCTAGTGCGCTCAGTGGCCATCATACAAGCGTTAAAAAAGTATAAGGTGAAAAGGAATTCACGAAATTCCCCTACAAACACAAGAAAATCTATTGTGAAGCAGTGAAGCCTATCAAGCCACCGCAGACAGAAAGCAACGCATGTGCAACATGCAAAAAAAGCAAGAACGCAGCATACGGGCATCGCGCCATATGTTGAGTTACGCATGGAAAGTGAAATGTCGCAAAAACAATCTGTAAATCAATTCTGCTGTACATCATACATGATTTGCACGAAACCACACCGAGGTAAATGTTTCTGTGATAAGTTTGTCAAAACCTAAAAAGTTGGTGAATATCATATGTGTGTGTTTGATATTTTTCCTTGTCTTTGTTTGATGTGCTACGCTCAGATGTAACTGCGCTGATACTAAAAACATATTGTTTTTATGTCCTGTCTGTTCTGTTGAATTATGTTTGATAGGTTCTGGCGTGGCTATGCTTAAGCTATGATGTTTTTGCTCGCTATTAAATTATACTCATTATATATTTATATAAATGTTTTGTTTTGTCTTGTGATGTTATTGTATGTTCTGTTGCGTTATCTTGTGTGTTTTTCCATATGTTGTGTTTTGTGGTGATGTTTTGCGACGAATATGTATTACACATAATTAAATAGAGTTGAAATTATTGATATAAAATGTTGAAAAATAGAAGTGAACAACAAGGCAGTTTATAAATAGTTCAGAACGGTTCCGAACGGTTCCGAACTATTTATAAACTGCAGCCTTATAAATAGTTCCGAACGGTTCCGAACGGTTCCGAACTATTTATACATCCCGAACTATTCCGAACTATTCCGAACTAATCCGAACTATTTGGGGTTTGGGTGTATAAATAGTTCAGAACGGTTCCGAACGGTTCCGAACTATTTATAAACACAAATTTATAAATAGCTCAGAACGGTTCCGAACGGTTCCGAACTATTTATAAATCATGCTGGTGTTTAATCCATTTTTTAGACATATTTTCGTTATCATTATCTTATTTGTTCATCATGTCATATCATAAACTTTGAAAAGTAAAAGCCAAAAGTTACAAGTTAAACCACGACGACGAAACTCAAACTTTTACGAGTAGCTTGACGGACATATACCCGTTTGCAGTATACCGTAAATGTATAATGTTAATAAGATGATCAGGCGATGGGGCACTCATGGCGAAAAATACTTTTTGATAGAGATGTCAAAACAAGTAGAAACATGAGGGGATAAAAAGACTGCCAATCCTAGCGGTCATTGCATGGTGGATGTTCAAGATGTTCATCTCACGGGAGTTCAACCGATCTGTCACGAAGGGATTTGGAATAGCAATTCGGAGGACGGATTTTAAGCTCTTTCACGTGGCTGTTCTCCTCATCCTTTGCTTTCTGGGATTGGCGGCCGTCCTCCAACAGTGGACCGCAGAAAAAAAATAGCCGGGCACCCCGGAGTGACCCCGGAGTGACCCCGGAGTGACCCCGACAACCCAGCGCGAAAAATTGGGATGGCTCCCGATAGCTCCGCGCGGAAGTTTGGAATGGTCCCCGGGGAAGGCATGAGAAAACCTCTGACTATTTATAAAATTCGAAAAAAACACCCGGAACTATTTATAAAACCAGCGCGGGACCCACCCGGAACTATTTATAAAACCAGCGCGGAACCCACCCGGAACTATTTATAAAAGCAGCGCGGAACCCACCCGGAACTATTTATAAAACCACCGAATCGGGAGCCCCCAAAAACCAGGAATCCTTGGCCCTGGAAGGGAATGCCAAAGGTCCGACGCCGGCATCTGAACTCTCCTTCACATAGGCCAAAATCTGGGAGATAAGAACTGTAGTTGAGAAGGCAGTACTGTAGTGACTAAGTGCACCAGGCCCTTCATCTGACCATGGTTTGCAACATCTTTTCTGACCATCACAAAGTAGATTCGAGCACCGGTCTGTGCCATGCAAAAGCGGGATGACCTGGGCTGCATGGATACTGCACAAACCAGAAGCTGCAGTGGGCAAAAACTTTTTGTCGATAGAAACAGTTTGAAAATCGCTTTTAGACTCATCAGCTGCAGTGTGCATAATCTTGTTTGATACCTTGACCACTTGCAAACCATCTGGTCCTGTAGTTTCGTTTGAACTCAATGGTTTGTGACTCAAAAACTTCCCATTCACAACACAAAAAGCCCTGCAAATGCTCGACATCTTGACGCCAGCATGGTGAACATGTGAGCGCGCATGTCTGAAACCTCAATCAGTCCAAACCCTTCTTCATTGGTGACATGTATTCTTGCAGACCAGCCGCCGCCGTCTGGGTAGTTGCGTTTGATGAACTCCTGCTTCATAGCGGAGATTTCGAAGCAAGCTTCCGTCTTGTAGCTGCCCCCAAGCAATCCAGAGATATCACGCCTCAGTGATTCCAGATCCAGCCGGTTTGATGGCCACAAAACAAATTGGCGCACAATATCTTACAGTATTTCAAAATATGGTACTGCAATATAATATTTCAATATAATGAAATAAAAAATATCTATTTTATATACGCATGATATATTATATATGCTCGACCGGCCTTTTGTTATATTATTTTATAATATTTTTTATTGTCTATCTAAAATCAAACGCAATATTTGTCACAAGCGCCTTCCGTTCTGAAAATCTTGGGCCTAAGCTACTTGAACTGAGCAAAGGAGCAGGCAATACGTCCCAGTAGCAGCTCCTGCGCATCCTTCGATGACACACAACCTCATGCATCAAATGCCACGGAGAAACCAACCCTAGAGGATAGAAGCAAACCTCAAACATTTGCTCCCATCAGGATAGCACATTTTGAAACCCTCACGCGTTGCCAGGAAACCGGGAAGGAAGCCGATCCTTCGTCCCCCAGGCCAAGTGTCTTTGAAAAAATGGAAGCCCAATCTAAGCACCGCGGCCCTGCCGTCCTCAGAAATCATAGGGTGAAAGAGTAACCAAGAGCAAGACTCAAGATGGTCAATGTTAAGTTCAGAAGGACAAAAACTCATCACATTGTCATGCAGGCAAGTGATGGAAGTCACGGGTCATACCATAAACAGACAACAACGTGAATCTATTTAATGCAAACAAACATGGGAAAAATCCGACATGAAAGTCAATGTCTCGTTTCACCAAATCAGCACTGCCTCATGTTTGATGTCAATCTGATTTGTGTCAATCCATGCCATGTCGACACGCACGTGAAGACGCTAAAACTAGGCGCCTTCAATCACCAAAATGAAACTGAACTAAATCCAGCTGTGTGTCTCACTGCACTTGCTGGATGGCGCCGGCGATGCTGCAGAACCATCACAATCAGCCATGGCTATCCACCGAAGCAGTGGCAGCCTACTCTGTCATAGGGCCTGGGGTCTGGTCTTGGGCCCACAAGAAAAGAAAGTTGGCGAGCATGAGTGCCTCAAGCAAGCCAATGACCAAATTGAAGGCATCAAAACTGTTGGTTGGTAAATGGGAATGTGGTAATAGAAGGTAACCCAAGGGAAAATAATAGTTCTTCCACAGATTACCGGTAATAAGGTAAGAAATTCATAAGGATGGTGGGTTTCCCAATCAAAAGATCATATGTCCCAATCAAAAGATCTTAAAGAACCTGAAGTTCAATCCAAATTTCTGGTGTATCTGTATATGCTGTCCCCCATATATCTTTGTCCTGTAAGCTGGTTAGTTACCCTCTGCTAGTTGTACCCTTCCATCATTGTTGGTCACAAGGGGGATTGGCCAAGGTCTTAAGATAATAGGTGAAATATCCCAATTCTTCATCAAAGGTGTGAACTAGTTATCCCAGGGTGAGCCTCTCAATAATTTATAAATAGTTCGGGGGTAGTTTATAAATAGTTCGGGGGTGTTCAGGGTATTTTATAAATAGTTCGGGGCATCCCAAAGTCCAAAAACAGAAACCCTCTAACAAAGAGGCCCACCCAGGGTCCAAGGTAAATCCATTATAAATGACCATTTTCAATAGTTTTTTGATGTTTTTTGTATGTTTACCAGAGGGTAGCCATCGTGCCACCATCGCAGCCTCTTCCTTCTCCTTTCTGTTTCCCGGCGGCGCGTCCCGGGAGTCCCGGGACTCCCGTGCAGCCTGGCCGAAAGTTTGACAGACATCGCTGGGATTCCCACTCCATGGCTATCCCCAAGATTCATATAAGTACAGCCCTCTTTTTGTTCATGAATTATATCCATTTGTATGCCATATGTTGATGATGTTTGATAGTTAAATCCTCCTACATATATGATATGATATATCTTAATATATATTTATATGTATATACATTATACTATGTGATAATTAAATCCATCATGTATTTACAGGACAGACTGTATATCATACAAGCGCTGGGGGTTTAGTCACCCAGGGTTGCAGTAAGTCATCCTCCCACATACGCTGCATTAGTGGTACCCTCTGGTAAACATACAAAAAAGCTATTGAAAATGGCCATAGAAATAGTGGATTTACCCATTAAAAATGGTGATTTTCCATAGTTACGTTACAGTAGTTTACCCGAGGGTAAGTTGCACCAGCCATCCAGTAAATCAGATGGAATAGAGTCTCAGCATTGCCCACGTTGTCAACCACGTGCCAAGAAAGCATGAAGACCAGCCAGTGGCAGAAGAATCATGATCATGACTTTTGTGGGGATGGGTCAAAACCTTGTACCCCTGGTGAACATCAAAATAGCTGGTAAATGGATGGTCATTCCCCTAAAAATTGTATTAATATGTATTAATAGGTATTGATCCATACCCTTGTGATCAAACATTCCTGAAGATCAAAACACGACCTGCACGCCAACAAAAACACTCAGCTTCATTATCATTGGTTATGTAGTCAACCATGCTTAAACATCCACTTACGCAGCTGCACGCCACATCCAGACGACTTTCTGCAAGTCACGACTTAACCCAAGTACCATGGCCTAATGATGGCCTAATGATGGCCATGGTCTGAACCTTCGACCCGACCGGCGGTCACTGTGGTACCTTCGGCACTGCAGCCACTTGTGGCTTCACGTCGACCCACTTGTTGTCAATCCTCGGTGTCGGTCATTTCTGAGAGCCAAAGGGCTCAAAGTGGAAGAACATCGCCAGTTCACAAAGGATAAAACGCCAGTGAAAAAACACCAGTTACCATCTGGGTATTTAACATAGCCATGGAAAATCACCATCTTTAATAGGTAAACCATTTATAAATGGGCCATTGTCCATGGCTATGTTAAATAACCAAAGGGTATCAATTAAAGATCATTAAAGTATATTAAAATTTGAGATGTGAAGCCCACGAAAATGCTTCGAAATCTCCCTTAAACAGCTGCCAAACCTTCGGTTTGTGCCGGTGCCGGTGGCACATGGTGGCACCGGTGAGCCCTTCATTTTCTCCCCAACCGGGCGCCCCTGACATGTGACTTGAGTGCGCCTCCAGAACTTTTGTCACAGATGCCTCGCACAGACACAGTTTGTGCCTCTTGGGGATGGGGCATCCCCTGGAAACAACAAATAGAAATAGATAAGTCATTGATTCAATGGCCATTTCAGGAACCTATGTTTCAGGGAATATCCCAGCAAAATATGGCCAAAAATATGGTACTAACGTACCTCCATCAATTGGATCCTGAGATTCCCATTGATTGATACATAAATTAGTACATCAAGCAAGATGTTGATCATTTAACCATAAAAACATGAAGTTAACATAGGATGTGTCACTAAAAGATCCTTGAAGAATGATGAGACGCGTATGGTTCAGAACCTTTGACTCCCTGCGTTACGCATGCTCAATCGCCCTGGTCATCTTTCACCCAAAAAGAATGGATCAATGTAAACTGATCTCAAGTATCACCAGTGAAAACACAAACATACATTATATGTATATATATATAGACATACATAATTAGTGTATATATATATATATATAGTCACAGTATATATATATGTATATATATATATAATTATATATTTTAATATTATATCAGAATGTAAACATGTCATACATATTACAATTATATTGCAAACTATATATATATATATATTATACATATATACATCTCTCTCTATAATCCCCTTCTGGTCCATAGAAAGCTCGCTCCCCGACCTTCTCGGCAAAGGTGACAAAGGCGAAGCCTCGGGAGGTGCCATCCGGCTGTTTTTTGATCTCCACGTTCTTCACCTCCGAAGGGTTGGAGATGGAGATGCAGGGCACTGATGTTGGGGCGATTCTCCCATGAAAAAACCGGAGATTTTCAGTGGCCAGTTTTGATTACCCTCTGGTAAACTAACATAGCTATGGAAAATCACCATTTTTCATGAGAAAATCCACTATAAATGGCCATTTTTAATACCTTTTTGTTAGTTTACCAGAGGGTACTAGAGGCGATCTGGGAACATGTTCACCCATCACCAAAAATCTTTGGAGTCTCTGGCCCAAAAAAGCAGCTGAGCTGTATCATGGGTGGAGGCACTTGCAGGATCATTCCATAGATCCTCAGATATCCCAAGTGCCAAGTGCTAACTAAGAGCTGCTAACAAGAAATAACCCTGATTGATAAGTCCTCAATTTCTGGGGCCAAACATGGTTAAACCATTGGTTTGAGCCGAGTTAAAACAATTAAACCCCAAGAACAAAGCAGTCAGTGAATCTCATCCCCATGTGAAATCTCCCCATAATATGGGGCCGTTCCCAACCAGGAGAGCTATGGCACTGGGAAATCCCCCAGTGCCATGGTCATCGAAAAACTTGCTCCAGATGGGCACATCACACCTCATCGGGTATCAAGTAAAAACACGTAAAAACACAAAATGAATCATCACGAATCAGCATATAAAAAATATAAAAACCCAATGGAAATCCACCATGGTTGGTTAAACTCAGCCCAAAGAAGCCATGGATTTGAGAGCCGCCTGCCCAAACTTGGCAAAGTGTCCAGCCACCTTATCCTGCACCGGCTGGCGCCAGCTGGCACCGGCGCTGGAGTTGGCTCAAGTTACACCAGGTTTTTGGCCAACGAAAAAAAGGGGGATCTGAGTGGAGGTTTCCCAAGCATGGGGATTTTACGAACATCAACATGCGGAAAACCATGGTTCTTGGGATTTACCCCCTGGCCCGGATGAATTCCACCACGAAATCCACGATGGAAGTCTGGGGAGTGCGATATGATGGAATTTCGATGGGAATTTCACCAACGATGGGAATAGAATGGGATGCATAGCCATATGAAAAAAAGGTAAAGCCCATAATAAGCCTACCATTTGGGGATGATGGTTACAAATGAATACTACCCATTGATGGTGATCTGTTGGGAGGCTTCATGGCATTGGGTTTCCCACAGAAGCTATGGCTTTCAGCATGAAACGAGGTGCTACAGCCGCTAAGATTGGCAATCCCTCGAGATGGGGGTTCCCCAGTTACCTTTATTGGTTCATAACCCCCATGAACTAGTTCGTTATATAGATCAAGTTACAAACCAACTTGGCTATCTAGGCACCACCATGCAATGATTGGACGAAAAGAAGAGGTATAGAAAAATCGAGCAACCAAATGATTGGTGCCAATCATTTGGATTTGTGATATTGGCTCGTTGATCTCCCCAAATTATCAGAAAACCATTTCTCTTCACCGATACTCCCCCTTAGTTCGGCCCTTAGTTCTTGGATGATTTTGGTCAATGCCACCTATATGTGTTGATAATCTCTCGTCCCTGACCCCTTAAGAACAAACACACCGCAGTATCGAATGGTGGAATTGGTCGGATTCGCTCAGGCTGGGAGGGTACTGCATACCAGGGTGGAAGTGGCAACATCTAACGACACCTCTCAGATTTGTTGGCCCCATATTCGTAGATGTTGAGTAACATCTACTTACTACAAGCACAAGATTCTATAACAATCTATTCCCGTGACGGATCCATGGTGTTGGAATATTTACCAACATTTGCCCCATAAATGACCCAGTCATGTAGGTAAATATACCAGCACCATGGATCCTATGGGATTGTTACTATAACAATCTATTGTTGCTATATGACTGTATGTGTACCCCTATGGAAACACTTTTTGTGCGAGACTGGGATGGCCCAACTGCTGTGGCCGGAAGCGAAACACAAAGAAAAGGCTTTGAAGCAGAAAGCGTCATAGGTAGTACTCGGAAATTTTACGAAAAACAGATACATCATATATGTATATATAATGTATACAATATATTGTTTATATATATATATATACATATATATTCTAGATATAATATAGACAATGTATATTTTTCCCATAAGATCCATGGTGCTGCTATGTCTGAGAACAAACAAGGGCACCTCGGTGGTGCTTTTCCGCAGGCCACCCACGAAAATGGTGTCCTCGACGACCGGTTTTTTCGGGGTTTCGGACATGTTGGGGAAGTACCATAGAAAATGTGCCCAGTCTAAATTTAGACGGCTCATGTTGTTGCTAAATGAATCTAAATGATGCTAAATGATATTAAATGATATTAAATGATATTGAATGATATTAAATGATATTACATGATATTAAATGATATTAAATGATATTAAATGATCGTTTGTTGGTGCCAAATCAAGAAAAATTGTTGGTTACACCGGACGTTTTTCACCCAGGACGGGATCATAAGATTGTTTAACTTCTGGGTCAACAGAGTGCACGTCAACGTTTCTGGATACATGTCATCATCATTCACTTCTGAAAAGTTTAAGACCTTCTGAGTAAAATTATTGACCGTTATGAGTAAAATTATTGATCATTGATTTTCACAGTTACCCCAATCCACTTCCCATCACTCCAGATGTGTACCCCAGGTGCCTCTCTGCCCTCCTTGACACCTTTACCACCATCTGTGCGGGCGAACAACGAAGAACGGCCAAATAACTACGGGGCCACGAGATCGAAGAAAGTTGGCCATGGGTAGTTTTGAATCATGAACCATCCATTTGTTTCATCAACTATACTATAATATGACAACATAATGATTAAAATTATACATGATATATAATGATATATAACGATCTATATTATATATATAATATATAATATATAATATATAATATATAATGATCTATATTATATAAATATATATAATATATAATATATAGTATGTAATATATAATATATAATATATAATATATATAATATATAATATATAATATAAAATAAATAATATAATATATATATATATATTATATATATATATTATATTATATTATATTATATATTATATATATTATATATTATATATTATATATTATATATTATATTATATATATATTATATTTATATTGTATTCTGATATCTCAGAGTACAACATCCAATTGACTTTCGACTATCTAAATCCGGGCCCCACCTGGCATCCTCCACCGTCGGATCCGCGGACCGTTGTGGTGGCTGTGGTGTCCGGACCGTTGTGATGTTGGAGGTCGTATGTTGTTTGGATTGGATGGCTTGGAAAGTGCTTTCAAAATCTATACATAATATCCATATTAATGAGAAATTCCTGGTCGCTTACTTCGCGATGTTTGTCCGATGAACATGCCGAAGGGACAAAATGATCCACAACACTTCCCAAATGTTTCGATCAAAGCTTGAAAGCAGAAAGCCTCAGGGCTTGCCATAGTTGACCTGCCATAGTTGAGTTGTCCCACTGTTGGCTTACTGAGACATCTTAAACCGGCCCACCTGTGCCTTCACTTCAATTCGAATGATGGACAGGGGCCCCTAGTGGGCCAATTTACTAGGGATTACTAGGGAGAACTATGCTGGGCCGCGAAAAACCTTCCCTTCATCTTTTGGACATCTCCTTGAGAGGTGCAGTATGTCATGGCGTTTTTCACCATGGTGATAGCCTTCATGAGTTGGGATAGAAGTCTAGGAGGATCTCGTGCTCTCAATTTTTTCGACCTTTCAAAGCTGAGCCAAAACGTCAGTGAGGCTGGCTTGATCTGGGGATGATCTCTGAGGCCCAAATGAAACTCAGCTGAAGCAGAATGAACTCTGACCATATCCCCCCAAAAAAAAACAAAAAGTATTTCCAGGTTGCTATAGATGATACTCAGTACATAGTTTCAAGTTTCTGGCTGTTCTATCTATTTATGGTTGCTATAGGGGGTGACTTTTTTGTATGTCTTCAATTGTGTGTTGGATCCGTCTTTACTTGCCCGAGGGACAATTTTATGGAGATATCAATCAAGGAGAGTACTTACTCATGGTAGGCTTCCATCAGTGGACAACGTGTCATGTTTGATCCATCGGATTTATGGTGGATACTCACCTGCAAAGTTGGCAGAAGCAGATATCTCATTTCAAATCCAACGACACATGATAAAATGGCTCGGCAACAAAGCTCAAAACTTCAACCGTTGCACCAAACATTTGACTCTGATCCTTTTCTGAAGTCCTTCCTGCTTTGGTTCAGTTGACTCCAAGTATTTCCAACGCCACAAGAACAAATGAGGAAACCCCGGTGACGAAGTCGCTTAAAACCGACTTGTTCGCCTTTTGCGCCCATCAGGATCCAATGAATCCAATGAACGCCGCCCATTCAAACTCCTTTCAGATTCGCAAACGTCTACAGTCACTCAAACTCACCGAAAAAGTTCTGCCCGACGCATGCGATTCCATGCGTTTCCAACTTGGGCGACTCCCTTGGTTTCGCCAACGAAACCGTGGCGGTGATCCATTGAGGCTGTGATCGAAATGTGGCTTAAGCTTCCCATGTACCAAACGTAGAGGCCACGGGCTCAGATTTGCACCTGATTTTCGTCGACTTTCTTCCTGAGTCCGAAAGATCTGGAAGTGGGGAAACCACCGCTGGGATTTTCACAGCTTTTATCAGCTATCGCCATGTTTTTTCATGGGGAAGCTGATGAGAAACCGAGGGGATTCTTGGGAGCCGCAATTTTCATTGGAGACACACCCGAATCACTCCTGCTTGCCGCATGGCAACACTTCGGGTGAATCATCTTGACCCAAATCATTGGTTGGAATATTTACAGGAGCCCCGAAAAAGGACCCCCTAATAGGGGGAAGTTCACCATGTTTTCCAAGATTTCCCATCAGTCCAATGACGATGTCTTCCTTGTTCAGGGCAACTATTGCCAACTTTCAAGTAGGAGCCCGTAAATGGCTTGCCATGGACAATTCCTTGCCTGGCTGGACATAGTTCCTCCATCATTCAGGGGGAGGTTCATGTTAATACAGTGCTGTTCTTCTCGCGATTTTGTGATGGGTTTTTCCCATCTTTTTGAGGTATGCCCCAAAAGTGACAACCCATACAAAGCCCAGTTTACCAATTGCTTCAAGGCCATATGATCCTCAGGATCACTGTACTTCCAATCATGGAAACTCAAGGGTAATCCCCCAGAGGTTCCCCAAACAAATCAGGCCTGATGTTGAGGGGTTCTTGCAGTCCCTTGGGAGGGACACGGGTGTCGATCCTTTATGAAAATAAATGGAATTGTCCTGCAATAATTATAATCATAAGTACTGGTTGGTGGTTTTTAGCCATCTTGAAAAATATGAAAGTCAATGGGAAGGATTGTTCTAGAAAACGGTAAATAAAAAATGTTTGAAACCACCAACCAGAGTAGCATTCATAATCACAATTCACAGCAACAATCACAAATCATCGCTATCACAATGGTACTCTTAGTGACTAATCATACCAATGACAATAATTTCATCCCCCTACCGTTAAAACTATAAACAAATCCAAACTCACCGCGAGAAACCATGGCTTAGTAGCAGATTTTTTTTCCGTATTTGGAACATCTTTGGAACCATGAAAATCATCAAAGTTGAAGCGAAAAAATCTCGAAAAAATGGCGTCCCAGGCGCTTCACTAAGACCATGAAATGTCCTCCAGCAGGGGGCAGCTCCGCCACCAAGCCCTCTTGCGGACGCATCTCCTTGGCGGATGCCCAGATGCCTACGATTCTCCTAGGGGTTGACCGGGGAAACACATGAAAATGTCGATGTTTACCCCTAGTGTCTCCTAGAAAACATCAGTGGCAAAGGGCTGTGAAAATATCTGTTGGAATTTTGTACCAACAAAATAAGAATAAAGGTTTGATATCTGGATATATTGCCATATACATAATATATCATATATATACGTATATATATATATAATGGGATATGTCAATTTGACCCCATTGGACTTGCACATGCCGTATGAAGGCTCACGAGTTGTCCCAACTTGAGGAAAAGGGAGTGTAGCACCCGACTTGTTGTAGTGCCCCACTTGTTCTGTTTACATTGGTAGCGGAGCCTTCTGGTGGGCTTTTGTAAATCACCAGCAAAGATCTGCCATAGCCTGCGGTGTCTGGTTTGTGGCTAGGGCCAAAGGCGACGTCGCTGTTGGGGCACTGGAGGGCTTGGATGATGTCAGCTCCTGTGGCTGCTGCTCCTGGGGATACTGCCGAAGGGGTTGATGAAGCCAGTGGAGGGTCCACTGTTTCTCAGGATGATCAACCTAGCTCAGGACAGAGGTGGAGCGAAGATGACTGGCGCCTTTGGAATGCTGGTCAGTGGCCGACGAGGGCAATGGCATCACCTGCGCCCACTGTGTATGAGGCTTCCGATGGAGCTGAACAACAAGCTGGGACGAGACAGCGGACTTCATGGTGGTCGAGCTCTACGGCAACGACGTGGGAGGACCCGTGGACTAGGTGGCGAGACCCATGGTCTTCGAGCCGATCAGAGGAGGTCTTGGATGAGCGAAGTGGGGGCACTGACAAGATAGCGGTGCCAGAGTTATCGGGAGAAGACGATCGTGATGGGTGCAAGGCCAAGAGCTACCTGCGAAAGGTGCAGGCTTGGAGACGAGTGACACGTCTCAAGCCTCACAAGCAAGCTCTGGTCTTGTACAACGGCTTGTCTGGGAAGGCTTGGAGAGACGCGGAGGAGATCGACCTTGCGGCCTTGGACTCCCCCGACGGCGTTGACGTCTTCATGCAGTGGATCACGGAGCACTACTTGGACAAGGAGATCGTGAAGGCCGGCAAGTACATGAGCGACTTCTTCAAGCACTACAAGCGTGGCCACGCTCAGGACATCCGAGACTTCAACATGGAGTTCGACAGGCACATCAGCAAGTTGAAGGAAGTTGGATGCGTGCTGCCAAGCGTATGTTGCGCTTGGTGGTACATCGACAAGCTGAGGATGGACAATGCTGCGGAGCTCAACCTCCTCTCCTCCGTGGGGAACCAGTACGAGTTGATCCGTCTCCAGGAGGCTGCCGTGGTTCAGGATCGTATGAATCGAAGGATCTGGGAACAACGGAAGGTGGACACCAAGAAGAACCAGGTCTATGTGGCTGAGATCGAGGAGACCCTGGACGATGAGGAGGACCCGGAAGACCTCGAGCTCTACGACCTTGAGG